ATGATTTTGTTAATGCATTCTGGTGAGTTTTTGACTCATTCCAGTGATTTTTTTTTTTCTCCATCACAGTTTAGGACATATGCATTCATGTTTCTGATGCATCTTGCTCCATTCCAGATGCATAACATGCAGAAAAAAATGCAATGCATTCTACTTTTGTTGACTGCACTGAAACACAATGCACTGGTGTGAACTAGGGCCATTGAAATCCATGCTAAACATTGTCAATGCATTTTTGATGCAGAATAAAAACACACTGAACTGCATCTGGTGTGAACCAGCCCAGGGAGGGGCCAATTAACCTATCAACATGCCTTTGGAGTGTGAGAGGAAACCGGAATACCCAAAGGAAACCCATGCTATCACAGGTGAACGCCATTCAGGTCAAAACTTGATCCAGGGACCCTAGTGCTGCTAGGTTGAAGAGCTCACCATTAACCAATTCAAGTCCGGACACTTTCACCCCTTCCAGTCCAGGCCTTTCAGAAGCTTTCAGAGCTGTCACACTTTGAGTGCCAATTGATCAGTCATGCAACACTGTACCCATATGACATTTTTATCATTTCTTTTCAACAGATATAGCTTTCTTTTGGTTTTTTTATTTGTTGCTATATAAATGAAAAAATACCAAACATTTTTGAAAAAAATTTTTTTTGGGTAAAAATAACCCAAAACTGTTTGTTATTTAGTCTGTGTGAAAGTTATAGAGTCTACAAACTATGGTATATACAGTGCTCAGCATAAAGGTGTACACCCCTTTTGAAACGTAAGCTTTTAATCAATATCTCAATCAACACAAGAACAATTTATAAAAGTTTGACAAAACTGAGTTTTATAGAAATTTGTTCAGCTCATTACATGAAAGTAAGGTTAATGGTATAACTTAGATTACAAAATCTTCAGTTTTACTCAAATGAGTTGATGTAAACATGAATATACCCCACAACAAAAACTACTTCATCTAGTATTTTGTATGACCTCCATGATTTGTAAGGACAGCACCAAGTCTTCTAGGCATGGAATGAACAAGTTGGGAACATATTGCAACATCTATCTTTTTCCATTCTTCAAGAACGACCTCTTTTAGATCCTGGATGATGGATGGAGAGTGATGCTCAACTTGTCTCTTCAAAATTCCCCATTAGGTGTTCGAATGGGTTCAGATCAGGAGACATACAGTTGTGTTCAAAATAATAGCAGTCAGACATCACTAACCTGATCAATCACTGTTTTTGGTAGAAATGATATTTCTACATGGCAAATAATTTACTAGTAGGTGTAGTAGAGTAATAGAAGTCCAACAGACCCAACAGTCATGACATGCATGCTGCTGATTCTGTGTAATTAAATCACTAATTGAAAGGGGCATGTTCAAAATAATAGCAATGTGGAGTTCTATTAGTGAGGTCATTCATTCTTTGAAAAACAGGTGGCAATTATTGCCCTTATTTAAGGAAGGAAGGCAGCAAATGTTGTACATGCTGTCACAGTGCATTTCTCTCTGAAATTGTTCAGAAGAACAGCGTACCTTGATTAAAAAGTTGATTGGAGAGGGGAAAACATATAAAGAAGTGCAGAAAATGATAGGCTGCTCAGCTAAAATGATTGCAAATGCTTTAAAATGGCAACCAAAACCTAAAAGACGTGGAAGAAAGGCAAAAAACTACCACTCGAATGGATAGAACAGCCAAAATGGCAAGGACTCAGCCAACAATCAGCTCCAGGAAGATCAAAGAAGGTCTAAAGTTACCTGTGAGTACTGTTACAATTAGAAGACGCCTATGTGAAGCCAAGCTATCTGCAAGAAGCCCCTGCAAAGTCCCACTGTTGAGAAAAAGGCATGTGCTGAAGAGGTTACAATTTGCCAAAGAGCACATTGACTGGCCTAAAGAGAAATAGCGCAACATTTTGTGGAATGATGAAAGTAAGATTGTTCTTTTTGGATCTAGTGGCCGGAGACAGTTTGTCAGACGACCCCCAAACACTGAATTCAAGCCACAGTACAATGTGAAGACAGTGAAGCATGGTTACGCAAGCATCATGATATGGGGATGTTTCTCATACTACGGCCTATTTATCGCATACCAGGGATCATGGATCAGTTTGAATACTTCAGAATACTTGAAGAGGTCATGCTGCCTTATGCTGAAGAAGAAATGCCCTTGAAATGGGTGTGCCAACAAGACAACGACCCCAAACACACCAGTAAACATGCGACATCTTGGTTCCAGACCAACAAGATTGACGTTATGAAGTGGCCAGCTCAATCCCCGGATCTTAATTCAATAGAAAACTTGTGGGGTGACATCAAAAATGCAGTTTCTGAGGCAAAACCAAGAAATAGAGAAAAACTGTGGAATGTAGTCCAATCATCTTGGGGTGGAATACCTGTTCACAGGTGCCAGAAGTTGGTTGACTCCATGCAACACAGATGTACAGCAGTTCTCAGAAACAGTGCTTATACAACTAAATATTAAGTGATTCAAAGGAAAGCAAAATCTTCAAACATTTTTCAGTTTATATAGTGAATGTTTCAGTTTGTAAAGAAGAATACAAACTGCTATTTTTTTAAATAATCTAATATTCACTTTTCTTTAATCTTTTTAGAGGAATAACACAAATTTGATATATTTTTCTTCATGTTTTGATTTGGAATAGAATGTGTAGTGTTCCCAATGCATTTGTGTGTATGAAAATAAAAGCTATTAGAAGGATTTTGAGCTTTATTCACTTTTTTCAACACACTGCTATTATTTTGAACACAACTGTACTTGGCCACTGAATCACTTTCACCTTGTTCTTCTTCAGAAATGTGACAGTGGCCTTTGATGTGTGTTTTGGATCATTGTCATGTTGGAAAAGTGTACAACGACCAAGGGCATGGAGTGATGGTAGCATCTTCTCTTTCAATATTGAGCAGTACATCTGTGAATTCATGATACAATCAATGAAATCCAGCTCTGCAACATCAGCAGCTGCTGTACACTCACAAGCTGCAGTTATGGTTCTCTTTGTTCTTACAGATTATCTGTGTGAGAGCAAACAGAACTGAGCTTTACTTTCGGTTTCTATTGTTTACCATGTGATTGCTGTGATTGGACACAGCAATCACCTGGTAAAACACCATGTGATCACCCGGACACAGTGGTAATGTGATCCACTGCGACTGGTGATTTGTGTGTCATCCAGGCGCAGCGGATCACATTACCGTTGTGTCCGGGTGATCACATGGTTTTTTACCATGTGATTGGACACAGCAATCATATGTAAAACACCATGCGATCACCCGGAAACAGCGGTAACAGGATCTGCTGTGCCTGGGTGACACATGAATCACCAGGCTCCCAGTCCGCCTGGTACATTAACCAACCTTTAGAGACTGTGAGAAGACGGGAAGCAGTTAAAGTATCATTAAACGCATAATGTAAAAAACTGTCATGACATTAAATATTGCATTATTACAACTCAACTTCAGCATCCTGACATTTGTTTTATGTAAAGTATAAAAAACCCTTTTTTGTATAATTCTAACTAAAATAAACCTGGTTGATCCTGCTGTTCAGTGGCATTACCTCATTGCCCGTGTCCCAGCCTTTAATTCTATGGAGTGGCTGTTGCTACCATTGGTGCATATGCTCCTGCTTCAGGGCACAGGCAAGCCGTTCACTTCCTCATTTTTTTGACACAAGTCATGTGTCTACTACTAAGTGGACCTGAATTCAAAAAGTGAATATAAGCATTTTGTGTTGAATTCCTCCTGAGAGGTATCAGTTCCCTTCCTGGTAAATGAGTGTGCCTAGGCCCTGTGTTCCTACAGCCTTCTAGCTGTGCATCTACAGTGTAAGATACAATGTACTTCTGTCTCAGGAGATTTTCAGTGAGAATTGGTAATGTCACTATCAGGGGCGGACTGACCATTTGGAAACTCGGGCAGTGCCCGAGGGCCCGGGGTCAGTAGGGGGCCCCATGAGATGCCCCTGGTACCTTTTTCATAGGCTATTTTGAGTTTGGGCAAGGATCCCCTATTGCCCGGGGGCCCCATGAGTTGTCAGTCCGCCCCTGGTCACTATTGTGTTGCTCACTGTTCTCCTTGCTGGAGGCCTGAGGAAGAAAAACCCTTTCTCTGCCAAGATGATTGCCTCCACACAGATTAGTAATGGGGAAAGGTCACCTGCAAGGGGATCACAGGCAATGTTGGTGACTAGTCAGTTGCCTTTTTTTGGTGGCACAGCTTTCAGAATTCAGTTCCTCTAAGGCCTCATGCACACAATGTGTTTGTCCAACTCTCCTAAATGCCTTTCCTTCTGGCAGCAGCATTTTGGCCAAAAAAAAAAAAATGCTTGGCCTATTTATATGTGTCTTGACGTGTTTAGGCATGTCAAGCACATGGGCTTTAATTCATTTCACTGGGCAGAATAATAGTTTATTAAGTGTATTAATAATTTATTTCTGCCAAAACACTGCTGCTCCTGAATGTGATGGCAGTGGGGATTTTTTTGCCTCTAAATGTCTCCACCTCGAAACACCTCCAGACCCCTCTGTGTATGGACACATACTGTGGGTTAACATGGAGGGGCATTTAGAAGCAGTGTGTATAAGGCCTTAATCTACTTCACTGCCAGAATAATTTTTGAGTTTTTTGCATGCATGTTAAAATACACATTTTAGGCCTGCATATTAGAGGTTGTGTCCGCTTTTAGGTCGTAAGCTCTCAGGGGCAGGGCCCTTTGACTCCTCCTGTATTGAATTGTATTGTAACTATACTTTTTGCCCTCAAGTCTCCTCCTGTCAGTCTGATGTCAGCTCCTCTTGATGTTTAATTTGTCTCCCTCATCCCCCTATTGGGGCCCCCTTCCACCCATCTATGGCCTACATCTTGATATATCGAAGGGTTTGCTAATCTAAATTATCCTTAGTGGTTTGCTGTTGTCAGTTATTTTTTGTAAAATGCTTTACTCTTTGTATAATTTTTTTTTGAATTTTTATTTCACTTGTGTAGGGTGATTAATGCTGGGAAGAGTCAACACAACGAAGACCAGGCTTGTTGTGAATTTGTGACGGTTGAAGAAAGAGACAGTAGATTAAACAGCAAATGCAACGAATCAGAGAACTCTGATGTGCCTACAGATACTAAGGTTTGTTGCAAACATAAATTATATGGCTGAACATTCAGAGATTTAAGCCTCTAAATACCAAATGTATTGTTTTGATTAAAATTGCTGATAGGTGCTGAGCAGAACATGTACAGTTAATAAAGCCGGGTATCTGTTGACCAAGAATGCAGTGAGGTACAGAAGGGATGGATAAGTCCACAGCTGTTTCATGCATTTTTTTACAAGACCAAATTCTCAATTCCTTTCTTTTATAAATCCCTTTAAAGCAATAAATTCCCCTCTAAATAGTAATTCATGATGCAGTATGTGTGTAAGACAGATACCGCAGCAAGGTTGGATGTTTACGAGTTGATATGAAAAAAATTTAGCTATTTATTTTTAACCACTTGACCTCCATGTTTTATCCCCTTCATGACCAGGACATTTTTTGCTATTCAGCACTGTGCTACTTTAACTGGCAATTCACTGCACCCAAGTGAATTTTTTTTTTTTTCACACAAATAGAGATTTTTTATTATATAAACGAAAAAGACTGAAAAGTTAAAAAAACAAACAATATTTTCTACTACAACATATCCAATAAAAAAAATGATTTCTTCATAAATGTAGGCCAAATGTATTCTGCTGTCCTTCTCCATTTACAGGATTTCTTTTAAAATCCCAGGTCTTGTTGTTTCCCCCAGCCTGTAACTGAACAGTACAATGGAAACATTTCTCTGTCACTCTGCTCTTCTTTCCTATGAACATGTCCCTTTTTAGGCCATCATTCTGCCAACAAGAATGACACAAAACAGGGTTATTTACTAAAGCTGGAGAGTGCAAAATTTGGTGCAACTATGCACAGAAATCAGTCAGCATCCAGGTCTTACTGTCAAAGCTTAGTTGAGCAAGCTAAAGTTAAAAGCTGATTGGCTACCATACATAGCTACACCAGATTTTGCACATTCCAGTTTTAGTAAATTAACTCCATACACTCCTTGCGCTAGTTTTCCCTCTCCCAGTCTAAAAACTCCTGCAAGAGGCTGTCATCAAGTAGAATTCAAGTACTTACACCGCTTGCATTTAAAGGAATGTAATGATTTATGAATCAATACTGTGCTGCATTAATTTGTGTATTTATATCTGCCCAGAGCTTGATTATACAGTTCAGACTGAACATGTGAATTAAAAATGTATAAAAACAGGTAAAAATAAATATCAACAATCAGTAGATATATAGATTTATTATATATACTTAATTGAAAACAACATCTTAAAACATAAGTCGAGATATGGACAGCTAATCATGTACACTTATTTGTAAAAGTTGCACTCTGCTCGGCCTGCTCCTCCTCCAGAGCATCCAAATTGGCCGGTGAAGCTGTTCATCATTAGGGTAACCAATAGGATGCTTTGTTAGCTGGGGTGGGTCTAAGCTTGACTTTTAATGGAAAAGTCAAGATATGCACATACTGTAAATGCAGCTGACTTTATCTCTAAATCCTCTATTGCTTTAACTTGTCCATTTCACTGAAGTAAATTTCAGTTTGAATTGGCCAGTTTAGGTCAGATATACTATAAGGGTGTATTTTTACATGTCATGTTAATTAATTTGTTTTTTGTTTGCCATACTTTAGATCAGCAATGGATTATCTTTCTATTACTGGGGACTTTTTGATGGTCATGCAGGATATGGATGCTCTTTAACAGCATCAAGGCTCCTTCACCTTCACATTTGTGATCAGCTAAGAGACCTTGTACATATTCTCCAACAACCTACAATTGCTGCTCCTCTGTGTCTAGGCAGTGGCACAAGAAATGAGAGTGCTTCAAATACACCGACTCAGGAGAAAACAGAACCCCCTCTAGAGACTGCATTACGTTTCCACCTTGAAAAACAAGTATTTCCTGAAAGTCTTGTAATTGGTGCACTGGAAAATGCTTTCAGGCACATGGTAAGTCCCAGGGTGACATTTGCACTGATTAATGTTACTGTGTATATCTGAAATGCCATTTTTTAAAATACAATTGTCAGCCAATACTCAATACAGGCAGACTGTCAGGTTCATCAGAAAAAGTTCATTCATTGCTATCATATTACAATAATGCCTGTTTATTGCCACCAAAAAAGTTTTAAATTGCTCTTTATACATTCTCAGCATTATAAATCAGCATTATCCTTAAACCCAGGAAAAGGTTTTTCTGCATAGTGTTTTTGAACAAACATTTGTTTTAGGATTAGATTCATTCATTTCATTATGACGTTAAATTGTTTATAAAGGGTTTTTTTTCTTTAAAATAATAAACACATACTTACCATTGCAAAGAGCAGCCATGATCCTCCTATTCTGTGCCCCCCCGTACCTCTGGTCTCTCGCCCCTGCTGAGTGCAACCAGAGCAAGCTGCTTGCTCTAGGGCATTGTTTCTCAACCTTTTCCCAGTCAAGGCACCCTTTAAAATTATGGACAGTCCCGAGGCATCCTTCAAACTTATGGACAGTCTTTCAGCACCCCATTCTAAAATGGGGTGCCTCTAGACTGTCTGGAATTTTAAAAGGGCACCCCATAATAAAATGTGAAAAATAATTTTAATAGTTTTATATAAGGCAGCAAGATCCATACATGTAGGACAAACAACATTAGAGTTTAATATATTCTTCCAAAGCATATACACTTATACTGAGTAGTATTCCAGTGTTTCTCTTCTCCCTCAGTTTTTATCCATCACTGGGCTAATGAACCCAACAATGATTGAGCGGGGCAGGGGAGGGTCAAACTGGGATGCTGTGCAGGCAACTGACATCCTCCTTATCAACTGATGATGTCATTGGTTGTCAGGATGCTGGTGGCTAGAAGATCAGAATGGTACAGAATGAAAACCTGAGGCTTTGTGTAACCATAAGACCGGCTTGTTCCACCCGCTGGCTTGGATAAGAGTTATGGGCAAATTTTAGACATTTTGCCAAGGCACCCCTGAAGAAACCTCAAGGCAACCTGGTTGAGAAAGGCTGCTCTAGGGCACTCATGTGTTCTCACTCCTGAGTTCCCTTTTTTTCCTCTATGGGACACACAGAGCATGGCTCAGCCCCACCTCCTGCTCCCTCCTTACTGGCTGTGATTGACAGCAGCAGGAGCCACTGGCTCAGCCAATGAAGAGAGAGTGACCCAGGAGAGCTTCAGCTCTCATGCACACTGCTGGATCGGGATTGGATTCAGGTATGTGTTGGGGAGACTGTGGGGGGAGCTGCACACTGAAGGTTTTTTTACCTCAATGCCTAGAATGCATGAAAGTAAAAAACATTCAGTCATTACAACAATTTTAAAGGGGTTATAAAGGCAAAAGCTTTTTAAACTTTAAAGCATTCTCCGCATTAGGGTAAAAACCTTTAAAAAAAACTGCTCCTCCCAGGCCTCCTTTAAACACTTACCTGAGCCCAATCCTTATTCAGTTCTGTGCCTGTCTGCAACAGCTCTTCTTCCCTCTACAACTGCTTTAATATTTACAATACTATTGCATTACTGAGCATGGTACATTGATACAACCAATACCAGTACTATCCAAATCCCAACCCAAAAAAAAATACTTTGATTCAAAAAGTAAATGATTGCACCCTAAAAGAAAAGGTAACTAAATAAGATACCATTACCCTGAACCCAAAACTCAAACACAACTGTTAACCTCAATGTAACCTATAACCTAAATATTGGTACACTAATGGTGCTTAAGGTTTTGATATTAGGATCTTGGCGTCAGAACAAGTGACCTTTCTAAATATGCTGTAAAATATCCCCTACACTAAAGCACCCCCTAGCTACCCCTTTTCTACTTGAACATTTAAACCGACCCCTGAAAGGAGCCTTTAACATGTAGCCTACCCTAATACCTAACCTCTAGCTTGGCTCTTACGCTTAACCAAACCCTTAAAGTAAGCCCTTAATGCTTGATCCCAAACCCCCAACACTTAAGGCCTTAACACTTAACCTCCCTGCTGTTCCTTAACCCCTCTCACCTGTGCTTGAAACTAACCTACCTCTAAACTAAGCTAACCTTTGCTTCTGCCACTTCATACTATGATAGACACCTCGTAGCCAAACGTATACAATGTCCATGCTGAATATTTAGTCAGTCTGTTAGTGCTGAAAATTACCTAGTTTCCCTATATCTAATGCTAAAGTAAAACAATTTTGACACAATGAGGAAGAGTTAACATTATTCTTTTGTATGTGACCCCTATCAGAACAAAAAAACACAGCATCAAAAACATTTCAGACATTCTTAACATTCCTCATTCTCTTAAATATGTTTGTTTTTTTGTCTGTGTTCCAATTTGAGAGATTTTCCATCGCTTTCTGTCTTAACAAGAAATGCAAGGAAATTTCCCCAATAGGAAAACAGGGCAGTACAAATCTGTAGTTTTCCTTTTCTGGTGCCAATCCATGGCAGCATACATGTGGTAGTGGTACATGTTGGCTTCAGGAAAAATGGTGTATTGTAACACCGAGACACAGAATAGCAACAAAAAAGTCAAAAGAAATGTATGTCTAACAAATTATGCACTGATTTGCATGTTCATGAGGGAAATAAGTATCTGATCCCCTATCACTCAGCAGGATTTCTGGCTACCAGGTGTCTTTCATACAGGTAACAAGCTGAGATTAGAAGCAGTCTCTTAAAGGGAGAGCTGCTAATCTCATTTTGTTACCTGTATAAAAGACAATTGTCCACAGGAGCAATCAATCAGATTCCAGACATGCATTTCTTTTGAATTTTTTGTTGCTATTCTGTCTGTCAGTGTTACAATACACCTACCATTCAATTTTTAGACTGATCATTTGTTTGTGAGTGGGCAAACATTCAAAATCAGCAGGGGATCAAATACTTATTTCTTCACTGTCTCTGTGGGTGGGGCTGTAGGTTCCAAACATCAGCAGTATGTTACATCAGTTTCTGTACATTATATAGCAAGCTAATTGGAATTAGCCAAAGTGACTGTCAGTCAAGGTTGGTGGAGGGGTTGTGGAGGACAAAGGCACCATATGCTGATGCTGTGTATGGTGTCACACACATTTGCACTGCATCTGCAGAAGCATAGAGAAGGGTGACAAAACTCTGCTGAATGGGAGCCAGAGTATTAAGCATTGATACCATTAGAACCAGTAAGTTCAGCAAGTAATATTCTGTAGATTCAGAATTAACAAAAGGCTGTGATTTACTCCTGTACCACTATCCCCTCCCTCCTAGATATTAAGCTCGAAAGAGCAGGGCCCTTGACCCCCTCGTGTATTGTTTTGTTACTGTATTGTCTCATGTTCTATCCCCCATTATAATGTACAGCGCTGAGCAAACCTTTTAGCGCTATATAAATACTGTATAATAATAATAATTTACTGTTTTAAAGACATTTCCCTGCAATATATGTATTTTTGGGGGTTACATACAGTTAAACATAAGCATACAGTATGTGGTGATTTGAACACTGAATGATATTACTGACACTGGATATATCTGTACTCATTCTGGATCAGGAAACAAATTACATGTACTTTGCCCTTTGTAAGGTAGTCTTGCCTGATAAGAAATTAATACCATGTCTTAGACTCAAAAAGTAAAGTCCCGCTTTTTGCTCCCCACCCTCAAGCCTATAATTGAGTTAGCCCCCCTTTTACAAAGGACGGACTCCTTTATGATCAGCAGAGGATCTGTCTGCTGATCCCCTGCTTATCAGAGTGGATGACAAGTTCATTCAGTTTATGGAGAGTGGACATGGACCGAGCCCATTCTGCTCTATGAACTGGTGGGTGTAAATGGACTCCGCTGTTTGTTTACACCCAACTGCTATCCAATTCATATCACCTAGATAGAGGAGTTATGGATCCCCTTCCATTTTTTTCTTAACACACCGGATCAGATTGGAGGTAAGCAGGTGTAAATGAACACAAGTCATGCATCTGTCGGTCCATGGGGATAACAAGCCAACAGGTGGACCTGATCAAACCCTTTGTGTGAAAAGGGCCTTAGAGGTTTTTTTTGGGAGGAGGGGAGCGAATACCAGTTTTTCTTTTGGTACCCTCTCCCACTTCCAAAATCCTCACTTAGGTGAGGATGGCTTCCCTTTCCCTGCCCCCTCCCTTCCCGCAGCCTTCATTCACACAGTGGTTCACCTTTTGACTGCAGTCAAATTTTACAGTGACAGAAGACAGCAGCTAAAGATTGTATCCATCGGCTGTGAGGTGGCACAAGCAGACTCCTCTAGCTAATAGCTAATAGGATAAGCAACATTACACGTGTACAGGGGTTGGGCAAATGAATGGAAACACTACATGATATGCAGGTGTGAAAGTGATGATATGTTTCGTGTTGAAAACGGAAGTGATGTAACATTCTTTTGCTTCCACTGTGTGATGAGACACCTACTGTAGCTACCAGGTGGGAAGAAGCCTCACTTTCATCATTCACTGCTTACTGAGCTTCAAACAGGGCACATTGTTGGTGCCCGCTTGGCTGGTGCCCCTGTGACTGAAGTTCACAATTTATTTGTCATGCCAGGAGGTACAGTATGAAAGGTTATGATGGCATATACAGTTTCCAGGTAAACATCATTTGATAAGCATAAGCATGGTCCATGTGGTCAACTGACCGAAAGAGACAAAAGGACATTGCGTAGGATTGGGACCCAGAATAAGAAAACAATTGCTGCAAAAGTGACTGCAGAGCTCAATCTCAGTCTTCCACATCAACTTCACTTATGCTTATCAGATGGTGATATCCCGGAAACTGTATATGCCATCATAACCTTTGATATACCTTTTTGAAGCTCAATAAGCTTTGACACAACTCCGTATTACTAGCAGCGCACATATTGAATGGTGAACGTTAGGCTTCCCACCTGTTACCTAGGTGTCTCATCCAGGGCTGGATTAACATAGAGGCTATTGGAGCTTCAGCTGCTGGTCCCTACCTTAATACAGTATAGACTCAGCAGCTCAAAAACGTCCACCTTTTTTTAGCTTTTAAACAAGTCCTGCCCTCTGACACCGAGCCGCCGTTGCCCACCACGGCTCAATGTCCACCATTGTAAAAATGATTGGTTGCTAGGATCGCCTAGTATCCTAGAAACCAATCAAGTGCAAACACAGGCCCTGGCTGCTTCTGGCTTATGACCTGCAGACAGCAGTGACCCGCCAGGAGTCGGGACTCGGGACATATCACAGTCTGGTAAGGAGAGAGTGGGAGAGGAGGGGCACAGACGCTGTCAGTGTGTGCGTGGCACTGCAGCAGCCATGAAGACAGGGTGTCCTCTCGTGCAGTACTACTTAGTCATCCTGTGCGTGGGGCACTGGGGAGCAGCTGCGAAATGGGATCCCAGTCTGCCATGCTGGAATTTTTACTCCATGGAGGAGGGCAATGCATACTGGGGAAGAAAGGGTGGCTGGTCATATAGGGTGAAATACTCTGTGAGGGGGCTGCCATGGCTGACCTGCCCCCCTTCTAGAAATACTTATTGTCTGGGACTCTGATTTAAAGAGGAACTCTGCAGACTCGGGTAGAGGGGAACTCTGATGTAAGTGGGATCTCTGTGGCAACTAGAGACCCCCTTACATCAGAGGCCCCCTTTACATCACAGTCCACAGAAATCCCCCTTATGTCAGAGTCCCCTTCTTACACATTTTTTATAAAGGGAACACTGATGTTAGGGGGGTCTCTGGTCACCTGAGTCCCCCTTACATCTGAGGTCCCAGTGTTCCTCCTTACATCAGAGTCCCCCCTTACATTTTATATAAATCAGGGACTCTGATGTAAGGGTAAACGCTTCAGACTGTGATGTAAGGAGGGACTCAGGTGACTAGAGACCCCCCCTTCAGAGTTCCCCTTTACACCAGCGTTTCCCCTTTACACCAGAGTACACAGTGTTCTTTACATCAATTTCCCTGCGTAGAGGGGAACTCTCTGAGAACCCAGATTTAAAGGGGGAGCTCTAATTTAAAATGTAACACTGTGGACTCTTATGTGAGGAGGTCTCTGATGTAAAACTCTGATGTAAAAAGGAAATTCTGGAAAGAATCTGATTTAAGGGGAACACTGTGGACTCTGATGTAAGAAGCAACTATATGTTTTGTATGTTCCTGACTCCTGTACTCTAAACATTATGCTGGCCATGATGTTCATTGTCCCAACAGTTGCTGGTTTTAATGAAGTTTAAGGCTGCAACTTTTTCATAATGGATTAGTTGGCCAGTTATTGTTTCAATTAATTAGATAAAACCTAACAAAAAGGTTTGTTGTATAATTTAGTTAATATGTAAAGTAATTTATTCTTGAATATCTATAGGCAGTGGTAAATATAAATAACCAGCAATATTGTTGAGAACAAAATATCTAATCCACTAATATCTAATTTGAATTTGAAGGAGCAGAATAGAAAACTTTAATTGTAATGCCTTATATTACCTTCAGTCTATCAGCTCTGGGTTTCTGATGCTGATCTTCCCTGCACAGAGCTCTGAACTGAGCTGTATGTGTACTGCACTGTATTTTCTGACTGTAAACAAAAAATGCATTTTGTATTCAGGCCAACTAATCGGCTAACAAACTAATCAATTTTGAAAATAATTGACAGGTATTTTTATAATTGATTATGTCAATTAATTGTTTCGGCTCTAATGAGGTTCTTCTTTAAGATCAGCTCAGTCGGTCACTCCTTTTTGTGTGCATGAAAGCATACGAAATGGAAACGTTTAATTTTTTTTTAAAATGATCCTTTGTCCTGAGGATTATTTGTGTCTGTGAGGCTGTCAGTTGTGGTTCAGGGACTGTGGTATATGTGTGTAGTATATATAGTGACTAGGCACATATTCTGTTTATTGTTCCCCCTTAAGTGCCTTTACTGTTCAGCAAAATCTGGCCATGCGTACCATTTGCCATGGCGTGCTTAGTCTAAACATAGCGTAAACTTAATTTAATTTATATTGTTTGTTTTGTTTCATTTTGTTAAATATTTTCTTGTTTTGCAATGACACGCTTTCATAAAAACCGGGTAGATTGCTTTTCATTTTATTTATTTCCATAAAAAGGCCCACCAAAATGCTTAGCACCAGGCCCATGATGCTCTTAATCTGGGCCTGGTCCTATCACACAGTGAAAGCAAAGGAATGTTACTTGACTTCTGCTTTCAAAGCAAAAAATGTTGTCACTTTCACACTTACAAATCATGTAGTGTTTCTATTTTTTGTCTAACCCCTGTATACAGTATAACTAATGTATATAGTACTGTATCTTAAAGAGAAGTTTATCCTTAACTTCAGCTTTATAGTAGGTGATTTTTTTGTCACTTTCACACCTGCAAATCATGTAGTGTTTTCTATTTTTTGTCTAACCCAGCAATGGGCAAACTACGGCCCGCGGGCCGTATACGGCCCGGCGGACCTTTTAATCCGGCCCGCGGAGTGTGATACTGTCAGGATGGCTGTCAGGATGTGTGTAGGCGGGGCAGCGTGATGAACGTGAGGGGAGCTAGGCTCCTCTCACAGTCCGCCCTGAAGACCGGAACGGCGCGGGAACACGGCGAGAGGAACGCGCGGAGCAAAGGTAAGTAAATTGACACAGGGGGGACTTGGGGACTTAATATGGGGGATGAATTAATATGGGGAATGAATTACTATAGGGGGGATGAATTACTATAGGGGGGATGAATTACTATATGGGGGATGAATTACTATGGGGGATGAAATTACTATGGGGGATGAATTACTATATGGGGGATGAATTACTATATGGGGGATGAATTACTATGGGGGATGAATTACTATATGGGGGATTAATTACTATGGGGGATGAATTACTATGGGGGATGAATTACTATATGGGGGATTAATTACTATGGGGGATGAATTACTATGGGGGATGAATTACTATATGGGGGGATGAATTACTATGGCGGATGAATTACTATATGGGGGATGAATTACTATGGGGGATGAATTACTATATGGGGGATTAATTACTATGCTTACTATGGGGGAATATTACTATACTTACACATGACACATACACATCATTCATCTACTCTTGGTCCGGCCCCCGGGTCCAATATATGAACCCATTGCAGCCCTCAAGTCAAAAAGTTTGCCCACCCCTGATCTAACCCCTGTATACAGTATAACTGATGTATATGGTACTGTATCCTAAAGAGAAGTTTATCCTTAACTTCAGCTTTTTAGTAGGTGATTTTTTTTTTTACTGGACTTTTATAAAATATAATTTGTGTCTGGAGATAAACTTTAAGCTTGAGCTATTAACCTCTTTAAACATAAGGCTTTTTCAAGAGAGCATCAAGAATAGAAAGGTACTATAAGACCTATGGGCTGAAAAAAATACAAAATACGATATGCAATCATTCCTATTTTCCTGCCAAAAAATAGACAAAAATATTGGTACGTTATTTACTTTAGATGCTAAAAAATAAAATATGCAAGAAAACACTGTATATCACTATTGAGCCCTGATTTACACTGATGCGGTGCAGAATTTGCATAGTTTCCTGTGCTAATTCTGCACCGCATCACAATTGCACTTCGATCATGGGAACAGCTGCAGATGGGTATGTTAAGTTAACAACACCTCGAAGCGGTCCACAAAACGTTGTGCAGAATCGATCGCATAGGTGTGAATACCCATGCGATTTGATTCTAGTGCACCTTTTTGGTGCGGGTGAGGTGCGATTAGAGCCATACAAAATATATGGCTCCAATCGCGCCTCACACAAATCGCATGTGATTTGCACAGGAATGCGGTGAATCCAGGCTAAGAGTTTACAATTCCACAAACGTCCTGTCTTTAATAAGTTTTCTGTTTGTCTTTGTTTTACAGGATGAACATATTGAAAGAGAGAGAACCTCAAATAGTATAGATGGAGGATGCTGTGCACTTGTTGCTATCTGTTTGCTGGACAAACTGTATGTAGCCAATGCTGGGGACAGCAGGTATGATTTATGATTTATTTAAAAAGGGAAAGGCTGAATGAAGGCAGGGCTATCCATTTTGTTCATATCAGTAATGCATTGTATGTCACAAGAACATCAATGCAAAGTGCAGGATATTGGCACAAAAAAAGATAGTTTTGCCAAAAGAAAAATGATAAAAATATAATGGGCCGGATCTATTAAGGTGGTAAGGCTTGCACAAAGAATTTAAAAAATGTTAGTTTATGTTATACCCAGGGTACATTAAGTCTGCTAAACCATTCTAAAGTATAAACAATTAAATTGTACACCCTAGTTGAAAGCAGAGTAAGCAATTTAAGTACAGGAGAGGAGCTTGCACAACTGTGCAAGACTGAAGGTAAGGGTGGAGCTGAACTTTACATAAATATATAGTTTTTGCTCCCTCCACTGTGTAAATTTTCTAGTCTTATTTTACAAAATTACAGTTCAGCATTTAAAGCAGTATTGTGACTTCTATCAGTGTCACTTCTATCAGCCAGCCCTAGTTAAACTTGTAGGAGGAGTTTTCATTTTGGTCTAGGAGGATGCAGAACCCCTGACCTCTGTCTTAACAGTACTGATTGGCCCTGTGCTGATCGCATGCTGTCAGGAATGGACTGGCCAGCAATAGTGGGCCTCGCCTGCCTTATGAGCTGCAGTACCAGGGCTGGCCAGCGGGTGCTCCCAGCAATCAGAGACTCAACCTTGCAGCCAGTCAAACACCTGGAACTAATTATACTGGTGTATTTAAGGGACATTCAGACGTGCAGACTCTGCCTTGGTGTTGTGTTTCTCCTGGGCCCTGTTTCCTGTTCCTGTCTGATTCTCTGCTGACCCTGCTCTGATCCCTGGCTTGTCTGACCATTCTCCTGCTCCTGATCCCTTGCTTGTCTGACCATTCTCCTCTCCCTGACCCTCTGTACCACGCTGCCCGCTACCTGCTGAACCTGGCTTGTGACCCCGACCATTCTCCGCTTGCTCCCCCTGTACCTACCTGCCCGATTGAAATTGACCCGGCCTGCCTGACGACGCTTGCATTGTATGTACTGTTATCTGTGGGTGGTTGGTTTGGGTTGTTTGCACTGTGTTATGTTTTAGTATTGCACTGCGTTTATGTTTGTATTGTTAGTGTTAATAAATTACATTGTTTATAACATATCTGAAGTCTGCGTTTCCCTGCGTCAGTCACACACCTCTGGTCAAACCCGGGAGCCCTGACATTACACCAAGGCCAATCCTGACCAGAAGTGGCTGCACAGGGAAGCCATCTTGGCTTGTTGATGGGAAGGATGGATCTTGATGAGGTTGTGTATTTATATCTGCTAGTGTTTGATGACAGAGAGTATGCTTATCAAACTCTGAAGGAGTATCCCCGGGATCAACTACTAGAATGTATATGGCTCGCTCATGTTCTAGTAGATCAGGGCACAGAATTCTCTGAGGTGCAGCCATTGATTCAGATTTGTGCGGAGTTGGTTTCATCTGGTACCCCTGAATGCAGGGATGAATTTTTGCCGCCATTTAGTGCCGACCAGGTAGAGTCCCTGGTATGGTTATTAGAGGATGATGTGGATTGCTTCTTGGAGCATTATGCTGCATGTTCACCACAGATACTAAGAGATTGTATAAACGCAGTGCAGTCTTTAGTCAGACAGGCTTTGTGTAAGCTCAGCTTTGTTCAACCCATACTGCAGACATGGACAGATTTGTTGCACCCAGCCTCAGTCAGCTTACAAAAACCCAGTCCTGCTTCTAATCTATTTCCTCAAAGCTCTATTCCTGTATTCCCAACAGCTCCTCCTGCCCTGCTATCTACCGCATGTCAGTACCCTGTTCCCACTCGCTGCACCTATCCTGCCTTTAACCCTGTAAAAAAGCCCTCTGTAGCAACTGCTCCCTCTCCTGTTCCATCCTCCAGCTCTTCTCTGTCTCCAGCTGCTCCATTCGTTTGCAGACCTGCGTTTACTTGCAGTGCTCCAGTAGTTAAAACCAGAAAAAAAGCGAAAATTCTTTCCAACCAATACCATCCTGCCAGTATCCAAACCGGTGAACCTGCCTTCCGTGGTTCAGCCTGAAGCCTCTACTCAGCCTGAAGCCTCTACTCAGCCTGAAGCCTCTACTCAGCCTGATGCCTCTACTCAGCCTGATGCCTCTACTCAGCCTGATGCCTTTACTCAGCCGGATGCCTGCATTCAGCCTGATGCCTCTACCCAGCATGATGAACTGATCCAGCCTGACGATCCTATTAGGCCTGGTGACCCGATGCCCGCTGTCGAGCCAGACAATCCGGTACCTGATGACCCGGTGCCCGCTGTCATGCCAGTTGACTCAGAGCCCGCTGTCGTGCCTGGTGACTCGGTGCCCACTGCCTTGCCAGATGACGCGGTGCCCGCTGGCGAGCTAAATGACCTGATGCCTGGTGACCCAGTGCCCGCTGTCATACCTGGTGACCCGATGCCCGCTGTCGAGCCAGACGATCCAATGCCTGGTGACCCGGTGTCCACTGCCTTGCCAGATGACGCGGTGCCCGCTGGCAAGCCAAATGACCTGATGCCTGGTGACCCAGTGCCCGCTGTCATACCTGGTGACCCGATGCCCGCTGTCGAGCCAGACAATCCGGTACCTGATGACCCGGTGCCCGCTGTCGTGCCAATTGAGTCAGAGTCCACTGTCGTGCCTGGTGATTCGGTGCCCGCAGTCTTGCCAGACGACTCGGTGCCCGCTGTTCCGCCAGTTGACTCGGTGCCCGCTGTTCCGCCAGACGACTCGGTGCCCGCAGTCTTGCCAGACGACTCGGTGCCCGCAGTCTTGCCAGACGACTCGGTGCCCACTGTTCCGCCAGTTGACTCGATGCCCGCTGTTCCGCCAGACGACTCGGTGCCCGCAGTCTTGCCAGACGACTCGGTGCCCGCAGTCTTGCCAGACGACTCGGTGCCCGCTGTTCCGCCAGTTGACTCGATGCCGCTGTTCCGCCAGACGACTCGGTGCCCGCAGTCTTGCCAGACGACTCGGTGCCCGCAGACTTGCCAGACGACTCGGTGCCCGCAGTCTTGCCAGACGACTCGGTGCCCGCAGTCTTGCCAGACGACTCGGTGCCCGCTGTTCCGCCAGTTGACTCGGTGCCCCCAGTCTTGCCAGACGACTCGGTGCCCGCAGTCTTGCCAGACGACTCGGTGCCCGCAGTCTTGCCAGACGACTCGGTGCCCGCAGTCTTGCCAGACGACTCGGTGCCCGCTGTTCCGCCAGTTGACTCGATGCCCGCTGTTCCGCCAGACGACTCGGTGCCCGCAGTCTTGCCAGACGACTCGGTGCCGCAGTCTTGCCAGACGACTCGGTGCCCGCAGTCGTGCCAGACGACTCGGTGCCCGCTGTTCCGCCAGTTGACTCGGTGCCCGCAGTCTTGCCAGACGACTCGGTGCCCGCAGTCTTGCCAGACGACTCGGTGCCCGCAGTCTTGCCAGACGACTCGGTGCCCGCTGTTCCGCTAGTTGACTCGATGCCCGCTGTTCCGCCAGAGGACTCGGTGCCCGCAGTCTTGCCAGAGGACTCGGTGCCCGCAGTCTTGCCAGAGGACTCGGTGCCCGCAGTCTTGCCAGTTGACTCGGTGCCCGCAGTCTTGCCAGTTGACTCGGAGCCCACTGTCGTGCCTGGTGACTCGGTGCCCGCCGCTCCGCCTGGGGGCCTGAGACCTGTCGCTCCGCCTGGGGGTCCGGCGCCCGCCGCTCCGCCTGGGGGTCCGGCGCCCGCCGCTCCGCCTGGGGGCCTGAGACCTGTCGCTCCGCCTGGGGGCCTGAGACCTGTCGCTCCGCCTGGAGGCCTGAGACCTGTCGCTCCGCCTGGGGGCCTGAGACCTGTCGCTCCGCCTGGGGGCCTGAGACCTGTCGCTCCGCCTGGGGGTCCGGCACCCGCCGCTCCGCCTGGGGGCCTGAGACCCTGTCGCTCCGCCTGGGGGTCCGGCACCCGCCGCTCCGCCTGGGGGCCCGAAACCTGTCGCTCCGCCTGGGGGTCCGGCGCCCGCCGCTCCGCCTGGGGGCCCGAGACCTGTCGCTCCGCCTGGGGGTCCGGCGATGCTCCGCCTGGGGGCCCGAGACCTGTCGCTCCGCCTGGGGGTCCGGCGCCCGCCGCTCCGCCTGGGGGCCCGATGCCTGTCGCCCCGCCGGGGGGCCCGATGCCTGACGCCCCGCCTGGGGGCCCGATGCCTGTCGCCCCACCTGGGGGCTCGATGCCTGTCGCCCCGCCTGGGGGCCCGATGCCTGTCGCCCCTCCTGGGGGCCCGGTGCCCGCCGCTCCGCTTGGGGGCCCGATGCCTGTCGCCCCTCCTGGGGGCCCGGCGCCCGCCGCTCCACCTGGGGGCCCGATGCCTGTCGCCCCGCCTGGGGGCCCGATGCCTGTCGCCCCTCCTGGGGGCCCGGCGCCCGCCGCTCCTCTTGGGGGCCCGATGCCTGTCGCCCCGCCGGGGGGCCCGGTGCCCGTCGCCCCACCTGGGGGCCCAGTGCCTGCTGCTCCACCTGGGGGCCCGGTGCCTGCTGCTCCGCCTGGGGGCCCGGTGCCTGCTGCTCTGCTCCCGCCCGGTGGCCCGCTGCCTGCTGCTTCGCCTGGTAATCCGATGTGCCTCTGCCCGGAGTCCAGCCCGATGTGCCTCTGCCCGGAGTCCAGCCCGATGTGCCTCTGCCCGGAGTCCAGCCCGATGTGCCTCTGCCCGGAGTCCAGCCCGATGTGCCTCTGCCCGGAGTCCAGCCCGATGTGCCTCTGCCCGGAGTCCAGCCCGATGTGCCTCTGCCCGGAGTCCAGCCCGATGTGCCTCTGCCCGGAGTCCAGCCCGATGTGCCTCTGCCCGGAGTCCAGCCCGATGTGCCTCTGCCCGGAGTGCCTCTGCCCGGTGTGCCTCTGCCCGGAGTGCCTCTGCCCGGAGTCCAGCCCGATGTGCCCCTGCCCGGAGTCCAGCCCGATGTGCCTCTGCCCGGAGTCCAGCCCGATGTGCCTGCCCGGAGTCCAGCCCCTCTGCCCGGAGTCCAGCCTGATGTGCCTCTGCCCGGGAGCCCTGACACATGCACTCTCCCAAGAAAAATAGAAACCCTCTCTAGTTGAGGCCCCGTCTCCTCAGCTAGGAGTTTTCCCTTAGTTGTGATTATCTGTCCTGATCTAAAACAGCACGTTGATCCTTGGTGCCCTCCCTGTGATATTTGGTTTTGACTTTACTTTATCTAGCCTTTTATTCAGACACTGATTCATTTCATTGGCTGTTGCCCACTTCTCAGTTGGATTTCTTTTGGATATTTTGACTGTGTAGGATTCCTAAATTCTTGTGTTCTACAATAGATGATAAAGAAAATAAGATGTTTATATACTTTATACACAACTTTCTGTAGACATTTATTCCCCACCTGACTGCAGTGCTGTTGCTGTGCTAACCATTTCTGGGTTTAGAGCTTTATTGTGCTAGTGGCTTTAATCCTTTTGCTCATACCTCCCAACTTCCCCTTCTGAGATAGGAATGAGGGACACCTATTAGCAAAAGTATGTAGGCATAGGACACACCCCTGACACACACACACCCTAGTTAAAGGAGAATTGCAAAAAAAAAAACCACAAGTGCTTTTTTGCCACTACAATTCCTTTATATTGGCTTTTGGAATTTCCAAATGCAGCAATTTAGAAATTAGATGAAAGGTTTCGCAATGGGAAACATTTTTTGATAGATAACTAGTGCATTTTATATACAACTATATACAGTAGTTCAGACCAAAGTGAGGGACAAATAAGGAGGAAAGAGGGAGACTTTGTTCCAGATGAAGGACAGTCCCTCGAAATCAGGGACAGTTGGGACCTATGGTTTTGCTGCTACCAATATTGCTGCACTGCAGCAGACATATCGCTTGTACTTGCAGCAACTCCAGTATGTACACACAAAACCTGGCAGCTATAGCAGCATATAGTTTGTTTTTTCCTGGCTTCCAGCTATGTAGTGGAAGTGATTCTGGTTGCATACAACGTAATTGTCTCTGCAGCCTGTACACTCGTTCTTCCAGCAGCCTGTGCCAGTTATATAAACTTGTTGTACTGGACTCAGGCTCAAAAACCTTTCATCGGTTCTAGCACAAAGGATCTAGGTTACATAGTGCTTTTCCTTCTTCTGTGTTCCATTGAACTTTAAAGTAGAACTGCATACAAACCTTTTGTTAAAACTTTAACTTTTGTTTATAACTGTTAACACTTTTTTTTTTGTATTTTGTGGTTTCCTTTTTTTCCCTATTGAGGAGATTTATCTTCACTTCCTGCCCCATAGCCACAACAGAAAGTGAGAGGAAATTCCTCCAAATTGAGGGAAATTCCTGGTAGTCACCAGAACTAGTGTTCCCATTAGATTTCTCCTCTGTTCTTGTTCCGGTGATCACTTAAAATTTGGATTTTCTTTTACTTTCGCTGTCAATTATAATAGTCACCAGGACAAAAAAAAGAGAGGGCAAATATCCTGGGGGCACAGACAGCAAGAAAAATCTGATCTAGTGTTCTAATTATACCTAAAAAAATGTTTTGCCTTCAGTTACACTTTAATTTTACATTCTTAGATATATCCACATGTTGGGTTTATTAAAAACGCACCTGCTGCCTGCATGTCAGGGCTTTTACACTCAGAAGCAAGGCCATAAAAAAAATATCAGAAAATGAAATACATCTGTTTTATCTAGATAAATCTTGAATATTGTTTTTATGAAGCAGTTGTATCATGCAGTTTCATTCATGGGTGCATTCATGTTCCGAACACACACCATATGCTGCGTTTTCAGGAATAACTATGTGGCTGTTGTTTTACTATTGCTTTATCAGTCCTTTTCAGATGAAAGCTTTACTTGTTTGACTTCGACATTTTATGCAATTTCAGAGCCATTATCATCCAACAGGGGAAAACCATTCCGATGTCGCAAGAGTTTACTCCGGAAACAGAAAGGCAAAGACTGCAGTTCCTAGTAAGTAACATCATATGGTTATCTTAAGTCACCCTTCTTCCTCAGTGGTTGGTTGCAAAAACTGTATAATAAGGCTATTTTTTAATACATGCTTCTCATAAGCTGTAGCTGATTATAATAGAATGTATCATAAAACGATCTCATTATTTATCATAGAATGTGTTCTTTTTTTAATAATTGTGCTTACAAACAGTATGTTTAAAAACCCACAATACTACCATTACAGAAAATGTAACCTGACTGTATCAGAATGTTCTTTGTGTTTAGAAGACAGAGGCAGTAACCTATATATTCTTTCAGGAATTCTGCCACTGTTACATCTTCCATTGTTTAATAAATACTCATACACGGTTAAAGTGTATGTAAGGGCAAAATAGAAAAAACACATACTGCATGTGGAATGTCACTGCAATATATGCACATCTCCTCTTCTTTTATCCCTTGCAAGTACATAAAATAACCCATTGATGTTCCAGAAATGCACTCATCTCCTGTTTTGTGCTGGGTGGTGTCAGCCTGTTGTCTTTTGCTAAAAAAAAAAATGAGTTCTTTTTTAGGATTTACATACACTATATACAATATATTTAAAAAATTGTAATATTTATTTGGGGGAGATGGGAAGGTTAACCTTGTTAAAGATATAAGTAACAACCTATTAGTAGCATCTGTCATCCCAACTTTTTTGTGTCAGAATCGTAATAAGGTCTATAAGTCCTGGAACTCAGAGGCTTTGTAGAGCTTTAGGTGAGATAAAGCCTCCATTCCCAGGTCCATATCTCACCTTTTAATAAGACCTCACTTTTAGTCTGAGACGAGCACAGACCTTTATATATGCTAGCTGATGCTCAGGGCTCTTTTTCTTCCTCTCTCTCTGCTGCTGTGAGAGCATACTGCCATGGTATAAAGGCTTCGTGTTTGATTTTGGAAACCCATTAGGGGATAACCTGATAGTAAGCAACTGACATGAGTTTAGTTGGTGCAGATGTTTTGTTTGTCTTGCCTTACTGTTCAAATTCCTTGCTGCCTTGTTGAATGAAAGTGCAGAACAGAGCTGCTTTGACTGCTGCTGGATGTCCGAATCTTGCGCATAATAACTTTCAATATATTTATATATATAAAAGATTTCTCCCTAACCTCATACTTTTAAAAAAATGTCATCACATTTATGTTATTTCTGGCAGGTTACATGCCAATCGGGGACCTTCTTTTTTCTCCTCCAGCATCAGTGCAGACAGTCCTCAATGCTGGAAATAATGGCACTTGCATTTTGCTGGGGGTACCATCTTTTACAGCATTGTTCTTTGACTCCAGGCTGTGTGATGGCATAACCCTAGGGGATGTGTCCATGACAACTGGGCTCACGGGACATGAGGTTGAGTGATGCTGGCAACCTATATATTTCTTTCTGCAGAGGTTTTCTGTAAGATTTCTGTAGCGTTACGTTTACTACTACAATCAGCTACAACTTAGCTGACATAAGATTTAATTCCCCATGATGTTAAATTGACATTTATATACCAGCTTATATTCCAACCTAGGGCTTTCAGCTGAAATAGAAATGTAGGTGCTATGCACCTCAGATAGTTTGATATTACACACTTTAGTGCTGGATGAGCTAGACTTCAGGCAGTACCCAAAAGATCAGATACATATCAGATGTGTAAGAAGGTGGGTTTGAGCCTATTACATGAATAAATGCTGGCTTTAGGGAATAGAATCTGGTTGTCAGGCTAAAAGATGTGTATGAGGTAGTGGAACAGCAGGAACTTTGAAAAGCTTCTTTTTTTTTTAACTAGTTGTCTATTCAGATTTTGTTTTTGTACACTGAAAAGGACAGAAAGAACATTCTTTTATAATTACAATCTACATACAAATGCAATACATACAATACTGTCTTTTCTATCCTAGGCTTCCTTAAAGCCTGATCTGCTGGGAAATGAATTTACATGCCTTGAGTTCCCAAGAAGAATACAGCAGAAAGAAATCAGGAAAAGGATGCTGTATCGAGACCACACCATGACAGGCTGGTAATATACAGTCTTTCTGTCTGACTTTAGAATAAAGTAAAAAGAGTCATCAAAACATTCTTTTTGTTGTAAAAATGAATGGATGAGAACCACACTCCAATCTGTATTCTTCTGAGTTACTATAATGCCATGGTGTCTCCACCCAACAAAAAAAAAATAATCTTTTTTGTGTTTCATCACAATGTAGCTTGATCACAAACCACATTTTGGTGAAATGTGTTAAGGAAGAGTTGTTATTTTGAATGGAGACACCATGGCTGTGCATGTATTATGGATGATTCAATAAAGTGCTTAAAGAAGATCAGAGATTGGAGTGTGGTTCTTATCCATTTATTTTCATCCTATAATAAGCGAGGATGGGCTTCTTGAACCTGTACCTAGAGTCCGAGGATAAAATGGAAAAGCGAGTCTAGAGTGGTGCACAGGGATGGCTCATTTTTTGTTATATCTTATCTGGACAAATATAGTAAAATGTATATATTTTCTTATGGTTTTGCGCTCACCCACCCTCATATTACAGAGGAGGGCTATTGCCATTCCAGCCTATCTTAAAATGCTAAATCATTTCTCCCACCTTTAAGTAGTTGTAGACGGTCTGGCATTTTGTAGGATTAGAGGAGGCTAGCCTTTGCACCAGGAGGAATAGATATTGTAGAACAGTGAAGGCTCTGTGTACAGCCTGGGCCTAGAATTCTACAGGTTGAGCAAAGATAAGGGGATTGATTTACAGACTACCATCAGCACCTGTAGGAACACCCATATGCCTCAACTCCAGCAATTTTGTTACCTTAAACAGTTTTTAGACTAGGTTGTGTTCACTTGAAGCTTTTTTAGGTAAATCCGCTCATTCTGCTGAAAAATTATTTTTTCCAAACTGTCCTGATACGTGGCTGTGTATTTTATAGCATGGTTCATGATCTATTTCCAATTTAAAAGATTTATGTTGCACTTTGGCAACATTTTTACAGTGTCTGTATTTTTTGGCAGTATATATATATTTTTTCAGTATAATCTATTCTATGTTAGGAACATTGTAAATCACCTTGTAATGCTTGTAGATCTTTTGTAAATTCATTTAAGAATCTGCAACATAAGGCCACTTAAATTTCGCTCATAGTGAATACAACTTCTAACCAGAACAAACTTGTGCTGAAAGGAAGATGTATCCAAGAATAAAAACAGTGTCAGTGGGAGTTGTTATTTTTTTGTCACTGAAGAGATCTGCAATGTCCGTGCAAACTTGCATTTTGTGGTCTGGTGATCTCATCCAGTGCTGACAGTGTGTACGTGCCCTTCTGTAAATTTACACTAGAAATATATCCTAAACCTCATATTATGTGTAATTTCAAAAAGCTCACATCTTAAAGGGCAATGGTTATAAAAGGATATTTATTGGAATCTGAATCCTCACTCTTGAATTTTTAAAATAGTGCAATTTTACATCTCATTGACAGTTGTTTCTCCCTTTATTCACTTGGGTTCTCTACTTCTTAAAGCATGCCATTTCACAGTCCAATTGTAAAGCCACTATAGAGAATGCTGTATGCCCTCCCTCAGCTAACCGCTGATAAGTCAAATTGAAAAACAGTCAAAGAAAATGGCGCTCTTGGGGACTACATGAAAATGGAAAATTGTCACCAATACTTACCGTAATTCTCCTTTCCTGGCCAGTCCTCACATCAGCATACCTGAGTTTACTCCTCCTCCGAACCCTCAGGACCACCTTTCCTAGCAGAGATAAAAACTAAGAGACCCTCCCATCCCCACCTGTTCTCTGTTTGTAGCGACGACAGGTCACTAGGGGGGAAGAAAAAAGTTGTGCTGAGGTGAGGACCGGCCAGGAAAGGAAAATTACAGTAAGTATTGGTGACAATTTTCCATTTTTCTGGCCAGCCTCACATCAGCACACCTGGGATATACCATAGCTATTTAGGGTGGGACACAACAAGAAAAAACCAATACGTCTAACTACTTCATGCAGATTCTTTTATTTAGTCTGAAAAGGTGCTGACATACCCACCGCTCCAAACTTAGCCGGACTGGCGGACCTTACGTCCAATTTATAGTGTCTGACAAAGGTCTCATAGGAGCTCCAACTTGCAATCCTGCATATATCTTGAACTGATACGCTCGTGAGCGCCGCCCATGAGGCTACCACCCCTCTTGTTGAGTGAGCTCTTACCGTCTGTGGAGGAGCAAGGCCCTGTTGTCTATACGCTAGACTGATCATCTTGGTGATCCAGGTGGCTATGAGTCTTGTCACAGCTGCTTCTCCCTTCCTGGGTCTTGCTGGTAAAATTAATACGTTAACAGATTTAAGTATCCATTGGGAGCGAAGAAGATAGGTTGTAAACAAAGCGAACCTGTCCAGTGGTCTAAGGCCTAGGTCATCTGTCTGGTCTGGTGGCTGCATGAAATCTGGCAAGACAGACTTCCAGTCTGAATGGAATTTTGAGGCCCCCTTGGAGGTTAAGGCTGATGAAGGTCGCAAAATAACCTTATCTGCCAAAACAATACAGAATGGGTCTCGGCAGGATAGGGCTGCTAGTTCCAGCACTCTTTTCGCCATTGTAATAGCCATGAGAAAGGTTAACTTGACTGTTAGAAATCATAATGGGAATGAATCTTTGGATAAAAGGTGGCTGGAGCAGAGCCCTTAGTACTACCCTCCAAGTCCCAGGCTGGAAAGAGGTTCTTTCTAGGCAGCCGTATTCTTATTGCTGCCCTAATAAATAGTTTTATCAAGGGCTCATCTGCCCATTTGAAGCCTGTAAATGACAATATTGCTGAAATCTGTACCTTAATTGTGTTGTAGGCTAGGCCTTTATCCAGTGCGGATTGTAAAAACTCTAGCACATTTGCTACACTTGGAGTAAGTGGGGGAAATTTCCGTTGTTCAGCAAAGGATATATGTTTTTCACATATTCTGGAGTATGCAATGTTTGTAGAGGGTCTTCTTGCCTTTAACAGCATAGAAATTACCTCTTCCGAAAGGCCTTGTAGTCTGGCCGATTCAAGAGCCATGTCGCAGGTTGCAATCTTCCTGGATTGGGGTGAGTTCACTGACCTTGTTTCAGTAAATCTTTCCTCAGGGGCAGAGGTACTTGCAGGGCTGACGCCATCTGTAGTTGTAGTCTGGTTCTCATGATCAGTGGGGCCAGAGGGAAGAGATACACCAAGGGAAAGCTCCACGGTTTCGAAAATGCATCCTGTGCTATTGCTGTGCTGTCCCTGTATCTTGTGACAAATTTTGGCACTTGTGCAATCTCTGGGATTGCCATCAGGTCTACGGATGGCATCCCCCAGTTGAAAAAGATTGGTTGCAAGTAGCGCCTGTTGATTGCCCATTCGCTGTTGGTGGCAGGGGCGTATTTACCACAATTGGCTGCATTTTTCAGGGAGGGGCATGGGGATCAGGTGGGATCTGCAAGAGGCTGCAGGCTGCTTGACTGTGCATGCGGAGCCTGAATCTCGTTCTCGGGGGTGCCCAGAAGGTATGATGCAGTGAAGATATGTCTGTCTCTCTCGCTGGGTGGGGTGGTGGCATTGTGGCAGGTGTGTGGAGGCGGTGGAAGGCTCTCTCAGCCGGATTGGTTTGTTGGTGTTGGTTGGTCCTTGCCAGGCTCTCCCCGGTGGGGGGGGGGGGTTTGGGGGATGCAGGCTAATGTGGTGTTGGTTGGTGTCAGGCTTTCTCTGTGAGCAGGGGGAAAGCTGCTTTTTGTGTTGCCTAGAACAGCACAAAACATAAATATACCACTGGTTGGAGGGGAATGTCCAAATGATCCGCAATGCTGTTTTGTTTGCCTGGAATATAGGCCACTGTTAAGGCAGCCTTCATGTTTTTCGGCCCAAGAAAAGATCTGGGTTGTTAGCTGTAAAGATCTGGGTTGTTAGCTCCACAGGAGCGTCATGCAGTCTCTTGCTGAGAGTGCCGCCAAACTCATCACGCCATTGACGCAAACTATTCATTCGGCTATCTTGCGGTCAGGCAGGAAGATTTGGCCTTTGTGTGTGTCGAGTATTAATCCCAGGTATTCCATCTTTTGGGTTGGAATCAGCTGGCTTTTCTGAGTGTTTATTAGCCATCTGAAATTGGACAGGTTTCTCACCACCAATTCGTGCTGATGTGCCACTTCCTTGTGTGATTGGACCACCATTAAGATATTGTCCAAATAGTGGAAGATTGTTACTTTCTTTAAACGAATGACCGCAATGGTGACTAGCAGAATTTTGGAGATTTGAGGAGCTGTACTGATCCCGAAGGGCAAGCATCTGAATTGATAATGGTCTTCTCCTAATGTGAATCTTAGATATTTCTGGTGGTGCCTGTTGATTGGAACATGTAGATACGCATCTGCCAAATCGATTGATATTAGCCAATCTTCTGGTTGTATTACAGATATGATAGTATATATTAATTCTATCTTAAACCATTTGGGATTGATGAATAGGTCCATAGATCTCAGGTCCAGGACTGGTCTGGGGTCCCCCAAGGCACTGGGGGCACTGGTGCAATTGCGTTTTTCTGCTGTTATTCAACTACATATTCGATTAAGCACTCCATCTTCTTCCACTCTCAAGGCCATTCTGTCTTGATAAAGATGTTCGGTGGTTTTTCGTGAAATAGTATCTTGTAACCATTTTTTACTGTGCTCTGGATCCATTGGTCCACAATATTTTTCGTCCACACCCTCCAAAAGGCTATGAGCCTTGCACCTACTCGGAGGGGTTGGATGGTTATACCATCAAAAGGAATTCTCATTTTTCTTCGTTGTCTGGGCTGTCCTCGACTTTGTGCCCCTTAAGAAAGAGCTTTGGGTTCCTCTCCATTGGCCTCGGATGTATTCTCAGCCTGGTCTATATAATCTGGCTTCTCCTGTTCTTCTGAAGTCAGCCTGTCCCAAATGAAAAGCCTGCTGTCTCTTTTTATTCCTCTGTGGTAGAAGACCTGATTTTCCTCCCATAACTCGCTTGATGCCCTCCTCTAGAGTCTTGCCAAATAACATCCTGCCATTTTATGGGATATTGCAAAGGGCCTGTTTTTGGCCATCTGCCACTCAATGACACAGACACAGGGCCCTCTTTTCTGTCACTGAGTGCGCCATAAGCATCTCTAGCAATGTTACTAGACCTACGGATGCCTCGGCTAGGAATGCTGTGGTTAGATTGAGTTCTTCTAATACTTTAATGATTCTGGTTGCCTCAACTCCTGATCTCAGGGCTGTTTTTTACATTCGTGACCCACATCTATAATGCTGTTGAGATGGAGGTAAGTGTAATGGTCGGCCGACAGGCCGCACCTGCCACTGAATAGATCCTTCAAAGGTCGGCCTATGCCCGTGTATCCACTGGGTCCCTGAATGCAGTGGAATTCTCTAATGGAAGGAACATATGTCTTGCCAGGCACTGTAATGACGCATCTACTCCCGGCGGAGTCTCCCAAAATTCGGCGTCCGAGGTACTAAAAGGGTACAGCTTTGAGAAATTTGGGCTATTCGCTTTCTTTCCTGGCTTTTCCTATTCATCCTCCAATAGTTCACAGATTTCCATCATAAATGGAAACACAGCTCCCTTCTTCTTTAGGTTTGGGAAGCATCTCTTTACTTTTTCCGGGGGCTGAGAGTCCTGTTCCCGTTCTATGGCTTCCTTAATTGCTGTAATGTATGGTTCTATCAGTTGAAAATTGAACAAGTGTTTGGTGAATATCCTACACAAATGGTGGACTTTGTGTACCGGGGTACTTCTGGCTCTTGGTCTGCTTCTGGTGGTACCTGCGCTTGCGACCAGGTGTATACTGTTGGCCACTGCCTCATGGATATAATCCTTCCTTTTCTTTGTCTTTGGCCATATCCTTTATGTATTCAGTGCATAAGAGTTTTCCGGGCGCAGAAGAGGCCAAACTGGCCCAACATAGGCCTTCACTTACTGTCCTCTAAAATGATCAGGAAGTGAAAGAACATGTGAACGAAATATCCTTTTAGACAGTCATGGTAACAAGTGTTCCCATTGGAAGATTTTTCTTCTATTTCTGATCTGGTGGCTACTCAATATTTTGTTATTCTGTCACTTTCATTATTGGTGACATTGGTAATCAGAACAGTTAGAGATAACAATCAAAAAGCTGCTATTGGTTCTAACCATTTTTATCCCATCCAACTTTAAAAGAAAAAAAGTTTTGCCTTTAGGTATGCTTTAAAAAAATACCTTGACATTTGCACTCACTGACTGAAGGCATTCCAATGGCCCACAATAGGGCTCAGCAGAATTTGAAATGGTTTTCTGCACAGAACATTCAGACTAACTATGCATAATCATATAGTTTGAGAGAACTGACAATCAGGACATCGTACATTTGTTCTTAAAGGCAAAGCCAAGTGGAGGAGGAACAGTACATGCATTTCTATGCTGGTTTGCTGTAATAAACTTCTTGATGGTAGGATCAGCAGGTCAGCTGCTCATAAGCCAGCAGTTGTGCTCCACTCTGCAAAAAAAACCCTAAACAACATGGAACATTTTGTTGTATGTTCGGGTTCAATGCTAATAGATATAGTATACAGTGGTTTTGTCTATTTTTAATTTTTTTTAATTATTATTGTGGTCGGGACCAAACTTTTTTATTTTTTAATCAGACAAAAAGAGCAGCAAAGCAAGTAGCACCCTCCGTGCTGTCATGCAATAAATGTTCATTTGTAAAACAAAGATTATATATATAATAAAGCAGTTTAAAAACAACTGCAATAAAACTGGTTTGAAATCATTATATTTTTAACTTTACTGTATATGAATTAGGTTAGATAAAGTACACAGAGCAGGAAGGACATGGCTTCTAAATTATGTAACCATTGAAAGTCGTAAGACAGATATAACCAAATAGAAAAAACTTTCATGGGTGATATATGCTGCACCATATACAGTTGTGCTTAAAAGTTTGCATACCCTGGCAGAAATTGTGATATTTTGGCATTGATATTGAGAATATGACTGATCATGTAAAAAAAATGCTCTTTTATTGAAGGATGATGATCATATGAAGCCATTTATTATCAAATAGTTGTTTGGCTCCTTTTTAAATCATGATGAAAACAGAAATCACCCAATTGGCCATTATCAAAAGTTTCCCTCCCCTTGAAGGTTTGGCTTTGTTGCAGACACACAAGGTGACACACACGGGTTAAAATGCCAATTAGAGGTTAATGTCCCACATCTGTGACTTTTTAAATTGCAATTAGTGTCAGCATATAAATAGTCAATGAGTTTGTCAGCTCTTACATGGAAGCACTGACTAGGCTAGATACTGAGCCATGGGGATCATAAAAGAACTGTCAAAAGTCCTGCGTAACAAGGTAATGGCACTTTATAAAGATGGAAATAATGGATTTGATAATAAATGGCTTCATATGATCATCATCCTTCAATAAAAGAGCATTTTTTTGGCATGATCAGTCATATTTTCTATATCAATGCCACAATTTCACAATTTCTGCCAGGGTGTGCAAACTTTTGAGCACAACTGTATAGTTTGGATCAACTGTAGACATATACGGGTTTCAAGAAGTACTACATTTATAATTTAAAAATACATAAGAATTAGAATTAATAGTAAGTACAAACAAATGCCATATAATAATAACAGCACATGTTAAGTGTCCGGTCTGGTGTCATTAGCATATATCTAATACCTGTCACTGTCATTTGTGTTCTTGCATTTGATATGAATAACCTTTCAAAACTCATTGATTAGCAGTAAAGATATGAAAGCGTCTATAGACATTTAGGGCCAATGTCCAAATGGTATATAGGGTTTATGGATCATGGGGTCCTTACATTTAGGATGTAGTATATTCTACAAACTGCACTCATTTTATACACTTTAGCCTCAGTAATTTTACATCCCTGCTGTGCATTGCTGCCTCTAATTAATAATATTATAAGATTGCATTGAAAGTCTACCTGCACATTTTCATTTATAGCTTTAATTATTAATGTTATAAGGGAATGAATATTTCTAACAACTTATTTAATTGTATAAATCAAAAAAGGACACTTTTTAATATTGTATATTCCCTTTTTTTTTTTTAACCAGGGCTTATAAAACAATTGAAGAAGATGATATGAGTTTCCTCTTGTGTATGGAGAAGGCAAAAAGGTTTGGGGACTTAAATTTTAGCAATCTCTTTTTTTTCACTTTTAAATAAAATTGTGGGAAATCCCTTCTTCATGGAAGTCATGCTCAGTATGCAGAGACCTCTGTTTTTTTGTTGGTTAGGATTCACTCTGGTTATCTGTGCTTTTGACTCATTAGCCTTCTTCTACATCTTCTGTTCACCCCCCAGGCAGCTAAAGTGGGTCTTACAACAGAAACTCTGGAGGATTTGGTGTCCACCTCTGCATGACTACCAGGATGAACTGGTATTTAGATTTTCAGTGAAGAGTGAATGACGTAAAGTTTGTACCTGTTCATGTTGTCCTGGTTTCTGTGTATAATGAGAAAAGCTCCCTAAGATTGTATGGCACTTGGTCTCTAATTAAACTAAAGTTGGCCATAGATGAGTAGAATTTGGACCCAAAAGTTTTGGGAAGAGAAGGTTCTAGGAAAGTTCATTCATTTTTCTAATCATTATTGAGTCAAATTGAAATTCATTTTTGACTGCTGTGATGAGAAAATTTGAAGAAGCAGGATGAATTTTTTTATCAAACAAAGAAATTTCTAATAGTGAATGTGGTCTTCATTCAGTAAAGTTTACTCTTTCCAAAATCAGATGTTAAAAGCAAACAAAATCTTTCAAACAACAAACACATGTTCTGAGAATTTTCATATGGATTTTTATAAGATGTTTCCTAAGAATTTTCATTTGAAATTCTTTCCGTATATGGCCAGCTTTGGCCATAAAAATAAATTACTGTTTTTTGATCAGCCAACGGGTTAACTGCAAGATGAACGGATCCCTCCATCCACACAAGTGAGGTGGATGAAGGAATCCTCTCTGCTCTGGTCTTGTATTATGACAACAGGGATTCCTCCACTGTCAGAATACACTAATTAGTGACTGCAAATAGCCGATCAAGAACATTTTTTCAAAGGCTCTGTCTAACAGAAGCCAATTGTTTAATCGATTTCTGTCAAGCTGGAATGGCCATATGTGACCTGAAATTGAGCCAGTGCCTGCTGAACCAACCAAATATCTATCCATCTCTGGCCAGGTTAAATGATTGCCATCAAAGACTGAACAACCAGCTTATTCATTAATACTGTAGTAGTATGCTTATTCTATAGAATAGCACAAAGGTTAACAATTAGTCATATTTAGCCAACCCCAAAACTACCCTAAAACATAAAAAAGTATAACGTAGGAAACAAAATAAAGTAAAAAATATATATATATTCAAGGATCTGCAAGTAAACATTGGTGTACTTCAGATGATTTATAACACAAATAGAACTTAAAAATAGAAATAAGTCAACATTTTTACAAGTATATAAAACACATATAATAACATGGCACTTCCATGTTTTTTTTAGCCACCAAACATGTAAGAATAGCACAGCAGAAGTAAGTAATAGTGCACTCTTCTCTAAACTTTACATTTTATCATCCCAAACTAATTCATTATTTGTAGTGTTTCTGGTACCATGAAAAAATATTGTTTTTGTCGATTCAAGAATCAAGCTGCATAATTTAAATTTATTGTAAAACCTACAACTAAATCAAGAAGTGTTAACTATGAACACATTTTCTGTCTGGTTTGCTTTTGTTGCCTCTTCTAAAAGGATGCATTACCTAAATTAAAATGCAGGTGAAAATTCACCATGCACTTCAGTCGCAGAGCTATGGGAATTCATAGGATAAGAATGAGGCTGACTGAGTCTAAGTCCACTTTAAGTCCCAGATTTTTTTCAGGGATGTGTCTATTCTGAACCTAAACATATTGAGGGTTATTTACTAAAACTGGAGCATACAACATTTGGTACAGCTCTGCATAGAAACCAATCAGCTTCCAGGTTTTATTGTCAAAGCTTAATTGAATAAGCTGAAGTTACAAACTGATTGGCTACCATGCACACCTACACAAGATTTTGAGTGCACCATTTTTAGTAAATCTCCCCCATTACTAAAACTGGAGAGTGCAAAATCTGGTACAGCTCTTCACAGAAACCAACCAGCTTCCAGGTTTTGTTCTCAAAGCTTAAAGTGTTACAAAACCTACAACAGTAATATCTGTATATGCAGTTAAGCATGCTTGTTATACTCACTGTGGAACCTAAGGGGTTAATCCTCCGCTTTGTGTAAAAAGGATGTTCGATCCTGCCTTCTCTGATCCTCCCCTTCTTCTACTGTTCTCAATCCATCTGCTGATAGAACAGAGCCTTGGGGCAAGCTGCTCAGTTTGGTGTGTATTGCTAGAGAGTTTTATTTTTACTTGGGAGACAGCATGTGATCAGCACAGGGCCAATCAGCACTGTCCAGACAGAGGATCAAGGGTTTTACAGCCTCAAAGGACAATCAAGGGAGTATGAAAACTCCTCCTTCAAGTTTCAACCAGTGCTCTGCTAGACAATGATAAAAGTCACAAGACTGCTGTAAGTGCTTATGAGAAAAGTTATTTAGCAGTTTGTAGCTAATAAAATATTTGTATTTCCATGTTCTGTGTACTGTAGGAGACCATATATAGTGAATGCCTGGGTCCTGGATCCTGGGTTTAATAACAAGCTGAAGTTAGAAGCTGATTGGCTACCTTGCTACCATGCACAGCTGCACCCTATTCCTAGTGCACCATTTTTAGTAAATCTCCCCCCATTATACTTATTTTTCTTTACACAGGGGTTTGTTTTTATAGCAGATCTTAGTACATGTACTGTATTTTATTTCCTGGTCTTTATTAGGATAAAAGATGGAAAAATTAAGAAAGATTGTCTTTTGCTAAACTGCTGAGTCCCTCTCGCTGTTATCATCTCCACAAATAATTGTAACATAGTAAAAAAAATGGAATGCTAATTACACTTCTTATATATGCTTTTATAACACAATTGACAGGCATTTGGTGCACTTATCAAACTGATACAATAAGATATTGTCAATGGTGGATTTAACAGGATAGCAAGCAAATAAGGAATGTTCATGGTTAGGGTTTACATACACTTTAAATACAATGCAGAAGCATTGGGTTGTTCTTTGCTACAATGTATTCATATTGAACGCTGTGTAGCAGGATTGCAAGTCCTGGATTTAAATGATTCTCTTGGGCTTAGTGTTGGATGGCTCCTGCAATAACGCCCTCTAGAGCAACTAAGACCGGGCACCATGTTGAATCAGCCCTGGGCTAATTATAGTTGAATTTTAATCCAGTACCTTGACCTCAAGTGGTTAATCTTACCTTACAGGAGAACATAAATAAAAAAAAAGGATAACATCTTTATATAATCTAAAATAGCACCCTTCCACACAGTACAGTAAATACAGCTGCTTGCTTCACATTATATATGGTTGCTTTGTCCACACTTCTGTAGAAATAAAAAAAGATGGAAATTAAAAAATTTTAACCTGTTAAAATGCAATATACAGACACAGAAGGAAGTTAGTTGAAAAACTGAGTATGAAATAATGAGCTGTACATCTTGATCTCTAATACTTATTTTTTACAGGCTAGGGTTATGGCCACTATTGGAGTAACACGTGGATTTGGAGATCATGACCTTAAAGTATATAACTCAAATATCTACATCAAGCCATTCTTATCTTCTGTGCCTGGAGTAAGTATACTATTCTTAGCTTGTATGTTCTCCATACACTGTTTCCTCCGTGTCTTGCACAGGGGTCATACAGCACATAGAGTTTGCTGGACTCTAGGGAGAAAGTGCTAAAAATATCTAATGTATGTAAATTGCTAAAGCTAATTAAACCTGTCATTAAAAGGCACCAGCATGACTTTCACTGACATTTTGTATCCTTTGATCATTTCTTTAGAGTTTAATAAGAAATTATTAGCATTAAAGAAAATATTTTTAAAAATTTAGCTCTGTCCTGTACTGAGTCAAAAAGCATAAACTGTACTTTTAACTGTTCATGGTACTGTTACCTGCCTTTGAATCTCTTTGAAAAGTTGGGAACAACCTGTGGGGATTGTACAAAAAAGTGGCAAACACATCAGCCTATAACTGGTCTTTCGTGTGCAGCACATCACAAACAAAAGAAAAGATTTCCCTGCGCACTTACCAGCCAGCCTGCAAAACAACTAAATGGGCTCTGTCTAATGCATACATTTTCAAATGTGTGCAAACAAAACCCTCTGCTTTTAATATAGACTGCTAGACATGGCCAAATTGGGTGTTTTGTAGGCTGGCCGGTAAGTAAGCTGGGAAATCCTTTGTTTGTTTGTGATGTGCATTGCTCTTCCATGAGAACCTTGCTGCAAAAGTCAGTTATAGTTTGGGGTGGTTGCCACTTTTTTGTATAGTTGGAAAAATTGGATGCCTTCACTGCCATTGTGCACTTGCTGGTCATCACATGCATCCCAGTACCTTTAACCACTAGCCTACTGGGCACTTATACTCCCTTCCTGCCCAGGCCAATTTCCAGCTCTCAGCGCTGTTGCACTTTGAATGACAATTGCGCGGTCATGCAACACTGTACCCATATGACTTTTTTATAATTTTTTTGTGACAGATAGAGCTTTATTTTGGTGGTATTTAATCACCTCTGAGTTTTTTTTTATTTTTTTTTAAACCAAAAACCACTGAAAATTTTGAAAAAAAAAATTGTTTTTCTTAGTTTTTGTTATAAAATTTTGTAAATAAGTGATTTTTCTCCTTCACTGATGTGCGCTAACGAGGCTGCACTAATGGACACTGATAGGTGCCACTGATGGGCACTGACGAGGAGGCACTGGTAGGTGGCACTGATGGGCATTGACAGCCATCTTTGTTGGGCACTGAAAGGCAGCACTGATAGGCAGCACTGATAGGCGGCAGTGACTGGCACTGATAGGCGGCACTGACTGGCACTGATAGGCGGCACTGACTGGCACTGATAGGCGGCACTAACTGGCACTGATAGGCGGCACTGACTGGCACTGTTAGGTGGCACTGGCAGGCACTGATAGGCGGCACTGATGCGCACTGATAGGCAGCACTGACTGGCACTGATAGGTGGCACTGATTGGCAGCACTGATAGGTGGCACTGATTGGCATTGATAGCTGGCACTGACTGGCACTGATGGGTAACACTGAAAGGCAGCTCAGCTGGGCACTGATATGTGGCACTGGTGTGCACTGATATGTGGCACTGATGGGCACTGGCACAAGGCACTGACATAAGGCACTGATGGACACTGACAGGTGGCACTGCTGGGGCTACACTGATCATCAGGGCACACTGATCATCAGTGCCCTGGTGATCAGTGTACATGTCCCCTCCGCAGAAAGCTGATTACTGGCTCTCCTCTCCTCTCGAGCTGTCAGCGTGACAGCTCGTGGGGAGAGAAATGGAGGAGAGCCGGTAATCGGCATTCCGCGGAGGGGACATGTAGACTGATCATCAGAGCACTGATGATCAGTGTGCCCTGATGATCAGTGTAGCCCCAGCAGTGCTACCTGTCAGTGTCCATCAGTGCCAGCTGTCAGTGCTCATCAGTGCCATGTGCCAGTGCCCATCAGTGCCACATTAATGTCACATATCAGTGCCTACCAGTGCACATCAATGCCACATATCAGTGCCCATATGAGCTGCCTTTCAGTGTCACCCATCAGTGCCAGTCAGTGCCACCTATCAATGCCAATCAGTGCCGCCTATCAGTGCCAGTCAGTGCTGCCTATCAGTGAGCATCAGTGCCACCTATCAGTGCCGCCTAACAGTGCCAGTCAGTGCCAACTAACAGTGCTAGTCAGCGCCGCCTATCAGTGCCAGTCAGTGCTTCCTATCAGTGCCATATATCAGTGCTTCCTTTCAGTGCCCATCAGTGATGTCTGTCAATGCCCATCAGTGCCACCTACCAGTGCCTCCTCATCAGTGCCCATCAGTGCCACCTATCAGTGTCCATCAGTGCAGCCTATCAGTGCCCATCACTGCAGCCTCATTAGCGCACATCAGTGAAGGAGAAAAATCACTTATTTACAAACTTTTATAACAAAAACTAATAAAAAACTTTTTTTTTTTCAAAATTCTCAGTTGTTTTTGGTTTGTTTAAGAAAAAATAAAAAACTCAGAGGTGATTAAATACCACCAAAATAAATCTCTACTGTCGCAAATAAATGATAAAAAATTTCATATGGGTACAGTGTTGCATGATAGCGCAATTGTCATTCAAAGTGCAACAGCGCTGAAAGCTGGAAATTGGCCTGGGCAGGAAGGGGGTATAAGTGCCCTGTAGGCTTGTGGTTAAGGAAAGGAGTAGTTAGATCCTACTGAGGTTAAGTCCTCAGTCCAGGGGAATGCAAGTGAGTGGCTGTCACTTCCACTGAAAGGAAGGTCAGTAAGGTTGACATTCATTGTAAGGAGATTGTGGGCAGGTTTTTGTTTTTTCCCAGCAGAATTTGTTGGTGGCAATGTGTCAGTTCCTGGTGAATAATGATAGTGGTCAGTTTTGGGGAGAAGGTCAACTGTTTCTAGTGGAAAGAGTAGTTTCTAGTCCCATGTGATATGAATCTCTATCAATGTAAGCCGTGTACCGGGGTAGCTCCCCAGGATACAGTGAAGTTACGAACGAGGAAAGCAACCCCAACACCAGGTTTTGCCACAACAGAATTTTACTTAGATGTGGCAAATAAACAAAACCACAAATGCTGGAAACATACAATAAATTTACATACACCCAGCCCAAAGGCTGAGACCCTTGTGCTGCACAGCACGGCACCTTCTGATGATGAAGGTAGAAAGTGTAGTAATTTACCTACTGGCGGGCACAACTAAGCTGCCACACCTTACCTGTTATTACCCTAAAAGAGCAGGAATCAGTGTATGGGTGTATGGTATGGGCTAGCCTGCGGTGCAGCACAACAGCTTACAATCTTACACAAATCTACAGTATTCCCTCTCCCATAACTGGTCCTGTAGCACGTGCCTGAGTATTCCTTCTGAACAAAACGCCAGTCTGGCTTGAGTTTGTAGGATTTTATCAGTTCTCCAATGTCTCCAATGTGAAATGTCACTTTAAGTTGTGGAGTCCTTCCAATAATCAGTAACAACACTTGTGGCCTGACACAAACAGAGACCCTAACTAACTAACTATAGGCCTGGACTCAGTCTCAAGGTGCCAACACTGAAATGAGGTGCGTGCACGATCTTACCGACCTGGGTCTGCTTTGCATCTGATGGTGACTCTGATCAGAACAAATGTCCCTCCAACAAGCATGCGGTCTCGCCGTATATGTTGCTTAGTTCCTCTGCTCTCATCAGCATTCCTGGCAGCAATCTCATCAGCTTCCTGGCAGCAATCTCATCAGCTTCACTTAGCTGCAGCTCTGGTTATGGAGGGGTGCTCTCACACCTGGATGTCATCAGATTCTCAGCTCACAGGGCCCCCCTCATTCACCATTCTCCAGAACATGGCTGCTCTCTCTTCTCTGTGTGAAAACTCCACCTCTTCATGAATATAGAAATCTCTATGCAGTCTGAGGCTGTGTTAGAAAAACAGTGACATCTTGTGGCTAAACTGCAGAATGTCAGTCAAATCATTTAATTTACTCCACACAAGCAGTATTCAAACAATGAGAGCTGTTTCCCCATCTCACATCAACACTGCAGGGATGGGTCCAGACTATTTTTCAGGTGAAAGTAAAGCTGGTCACCAATCAATTGGACATGGTCAGGAACTTTCCATTCGCATCTGGGTGTCCATCATGATGGGTGCCAGATAGTAATGGAGTGTTTAGCCATGAATTCCTAGATTACTAGGAGGTTAGGGTGTTTTTTTTATTTATGGAGATAACACAGTCTGTAGCAATTAGTTTCTAGAGCATAGCCGCAGGTCATTAGTCCAGAAAGATGAAGAGAGATGGTAGATTGTTGCTGAGGACTAAAGATTGTCATGAATATAAGGTAGAGGTACTGGCACATCTCCAAACACTTGTTTGAGCACAGAAATATTAAAGGTAAATGAGACCCCAGTGGTATTACAATATGTTTCAAATGGTGAATATAACAACAAGCTACTGGATTTATATTGCAGGACAAAAGCTTTACATAAAATAATGATTCATAGTTTAACAGGTAACCAGACTCAAACAATTGTAGCTAATTAATCAATAGGTTTAAATTACATAAGGGTGTGAGAAACAGCTGTTGACACAAACACTGTGCAAATTTGCATGTACTATTGTACATAAGGCTCCTCTTTCACAACTACAGAGAGACCTGTTTTTCAGCTGTTTTGCAGTTCACACAACATATCTTTAGAAATATGAATCTATTCAAACCTGTTTCCAAAAGACAGGCCTCATTTTGAGGACCGTGCCCCTGAGAAGCAAGTGTCCATGGCATTAACTCCCGGTGGTGCACTGTAATTATTGCACTGCACATGCACCAGCCTACTAGACTCTATATCCAGTACCAGATATGCCGCAATATTCAGGCCACGGGCCAGTTTATCCCTTTTGACTTTTGAAATTCAATTGGCACAATTGACTACAGAGTTTTGCAGCATTATATTGGGGTGGCAGAGGAGCTTGCGCAGTGTGTGTTAGACTACCATGTCAGGGATGAGAAGCATGATCCATAATGTGTAGGTAATTGTTCAAAACTACTAACATTGTGATTTGGCACTAATGCAGTTAAAGAATACATCCTTAGTAGGTGTTAAATAGACATGTGCAGAACGAAAAAATTAGTTTTGTTTAGTTTCGGATTCGTTTAGTTGAATTCATAATGAAATTTGTTTTGTTTCGTTTATTAATTTTCAACTGGATTTAAATTTGTTCAATCTATTCAAAGTATTTGAAACAAATTAATTGTGAAGAATGGCTGGTTCTAATATATTCGAAAGTAAAGTTTTAGAAGACGGCTATATTTTTTCTATTCTAATCTATTCTAGTTTTTCTATTCTATTCTGTTTTATGCTATAATTTTCCATTCTATTCTATTTTATTCTACTCTATTCTTTTCGAAATTCAAATTTTGGAAGATGGCTATATTCTTTCCATTTTATTCTGTTCTATTCTATCCTAATCTATTCTTTTTTTTTTTTTTTCATTTTATTCTGTTCATTTAATTTCTATATTATTGTTTTTATTTTCTATTCTTTCGTTTTGTATTCTATTCTATTATTTTCTAAAATAACATTTCAGAAGTCGACTATATTCTTTCTATTTCATTCTATTCTGTTCTATTTTTTCTATTCTATTCTTTTATTTTAATTAGATTCTTTTCTATTCTATTTCTTTGTTTTCTATTATAATCTATTCTTTTATTTTTTATTCCATTCTTTTTTTCTATTCTATTCTATTCTTTTTGAAATCTGATTTTCTGAAGACAGCTATATTCTAATACACACAGTCTTTGAAGGAAATCAGCAGTAGTCAGCAATATATTTACATTATGAATTTGTTTTCAAATTTGATTTAGTTTTTTAATTTGTTTCAAACTTTATTTGCATTTGATTCAAATTTCGTTTTGTTATTTATGATTCGTTTAAATTCATTACTATTGTATTTTGGAAATATGGATACATCTGAATATTCGAATAATGAAAATGTCATCTGAATTTCGATTCACAACAAAACTAATCACATATGTCTATTGTTAAATGGATTTCATTAAATCTGGCCTTGTCCTTCTCAGACCTACTGCTAAGCTAAGCAGGATGAGCTGAACAAATTGTTACTGTTAATATTTTTTTTAATCAGGGTTGCATAAATTTCAATACTTTGATTAAAATATGCTGTTTGCATTCAAATGTACTAAACATATAAATACCAGATAAACTACTTTGTAACTCTACGTATTCCTGACCCCTGCCTTCTGTGCATTACTTGCTCTTGGCCTCTGCATTCTGTGCATTACATACTCCTGACTCCTACACTTGCTGCTATGAACCCTGAACTCTCTGGTATGTATTACTGACCACTGCACTGTTACTTACTCTTGACCTCTGAAATCTGTACGCTATATACTCCTGACCCCTGCAATCTGTGTGTTTGCATACTTATGACCCCTGCACTGTTTTATTTAATTGTATCCCTTTAAGCCTTTCCCACTGTTACTGCAGTTAGGCTACACACGCTTAATTTCTCTACTCAGGGTGCCAAGGGCATTTTGGCTTTACACTTGGAATGGCTGCTTCTTGTTCCAAAAGTCTTTGACCAATTGTTTCATGGTGTCTAGAAAATGAGCGTGTGATTTTGTGGATGTGTCTACAAATGGAGATGTGTTTTTGTGGGTATGGCAGGGTGCTCCTGGATTTCATTTTGAAAACCTGATAACCTTACCATAGCATCTAGTAAATCTGTGCATTGCCTTAAAGCACATACTGTATATACTGCATTTAGTGTAGCACTCTAGATTTGATTAAAAAAAAAAAAAAAGTAAACTGTATATAAACAAATGACAACTATTTTTTCTTTTCAAAAGATGTGTGAAATACAAAGTCAGTTTATCATTTCTCTATGTAAAAAAACATGGAATTACCCTTTTTTCCATAACTTTTTTCTTCTAATTACAGAGAAAAGTGATACTTAAGCCTAGTACACATGATCTGAAAATCGTAGGAAAAATACTGCTTTTGAAGCAACCATACGATAATCTGATTGTTAGCACACATCTTTCGTCTGAAATTATTTGAAGGGACAAGCATGTCAATTTTTCTCGTACGATACCAGATTGTATGGTTTTCGTTTATTCAGTACAGTTTTTGTTCGAAAATACAATACAAAAGCAATACAATACATTACATCACTTTAGAATTTTCATTCTGCCATGCAAGAATTTTTGTAACTTTAGTAACCTCTTCACTTTCAATATGAGACTAGTGTGCAAAAAAAAATGAATGATCATTCTTCTAATATTCTCATTGTGTGTTCAGGACTTTACACACACACACATACTGCCCAGGGCATCTAGGCAACGGTGATATCACACCCTTTCTGGAAACATCCTGGGTAGGCTGGGGATCCCATATCTCAAGAATAGATGTTCCTACACTGTGCCGGAGCATCTTTTCACAAGATTTGTGATCCTCAGGCAGATCCTGTGATGGACTTTGTCCTAAAGTTGGTAGCAATGCCACATAGGCTGGATGCTGCAGCTTCCATCCCACCATGGAGGGCACCGTGTAAGACACAGATATAGTGGTCACATGAGCCTTGAATAAATATTTATATTATATATAAAATCTAAGCATATATTAGGTATTTAGCTACGTTTTTAACAATAAATCGTTTGAATTGCCTGCATTACAGCCTGACTCTTTATAAACTTCAGGCTTCCAATATGCCATCTATGCACAAATCTACATAGCTTTATTACTTTCACTTTGTAGGTGGAAGTCTATGACCTCTCAAAATGTGAGCATGGTGCCGATGATGTTATGGTAATGGGTACTGATGGACTATGGGATGTCATTACTGACAAAGAAGTGGCAGAAATTGTTCAAAGAGTTTTTTCATCTCATGGGCCTGATGAACCAAACAGGTAAGCTGGAAGTTTATACGTAGTATTTTCTGGTTAGAATAGTAGGTTACACTTTGAATCCATGGTCAGTTTGATAGGTTGATGGGAAAAGCTACACGTTCCAACACACTTTTAATATGTTCTTGCCCCTTTTAATATGTTCAGATTGAAATATTAAGTAACATCTATTTGGCTAAGGAGGTTGCTAAATTATCATATCCCTTATTATTATTATTATTATTTATTTACTTTTTGGTGGAGGGGGTGCAGTATTCAAGTATGTGCTTCAGTTGGATGGATAAAGAAGAAAATAATTGAAATCAGACACTTTTGTGGTGGGGGTTCATGTCACTTCTGGTGGAATAAAACTTGCTTTGGGGGTATTTTAAGGGGAACAGCTAAAATAGTACCAGAAACATGTTAGTAGTGAAGCCAAAGATAAAAAATTAAATGTACCATGTTTTGTTATACATCTGTACAATTTCAATGGACGCAACTGTTAAAAAAAAAAAAAGATAAAAATGAAAGAATTTGCATTTGGTAGGGCAGGAGCAGTACCTAGGCTGCAGCAAGCTATCAGGTTACAGAACATTTTTAGGGGGGGTAGTTGTTCCTGAGTCTCTAGCAAGCTGTAAAAAACACAGGTTCTGGTAAAAAAAAAAAAACAGGTAAAAATATACTCCTACATATAAATCTGAAAGCTGTCATATAACCATGCAGGTATTGTGAGTGGTAATGGTCAATCCTTTGTGGTGGTCTATATTTAGTATTTTGGAGAGAAACAGAAAGTGTCTTTTACCCAGGATTAATTTATTTTTGACAAAAGTTTCTGTCTGATGACTGCTATAATCCATTTTGTTGCATTTTGGGGAACCTTTCATACAGACAATTAAGGTTATTTAAGTTAATTTTAAATAATTTAGGTTTTGTTAAATGGCAAATTTAGCAGGTTCAGGCCACTGCTTCAGTTTGTACACCCAGTGATATGTTAGATTAGGATTGAGAATTTGTGTGTTTCATCTAGCTCCTGTGCCTTGATGTTACTTGGTTGGAAAAAGTTTCCAAACATGTCCAGTAAGCTATACTTTAGAAATTAGAGTTATTGGTTAGCTAATTATATAGTGGGAAGCAAAGAGGGGTGTCATTATTCAAGCTGTAAACTTGCAGCATCATGATAGTTGCCATCATCAACAGGCAGACTGTAGTCAGAAATTCTGATATCTGACTACTATATTAAGGTAAAGATTTCCTTATGAGACATGAAACCACATCTTTTTCAACAACCGCAAATGAAAAAATGTATTTTAAAAGACACACATTTAATTGTGAAATCTAAAATCACAGTTCTGGTCTTGTCTCTTCTGAAATGGGGAATAGAATAACACAAAAATCTCTTGTATGATAATTTTTCTAATTATCAAAAGATGAGTAATTTGGAAATACTTCGGAAAGACAGGTCAATTCACTAACATTTATTGCATGCGATATTTGTGCTTTATATGAAATATCGTGTGTGATATTTAAAATGCCAACTCACTTAAGTTAAAAGAGAGGTTTGGGGTTTTTTTTTTACAAATTATACTTAACTAGGTGGATGCAGCATTGGTCTGATGCTGCATCTATCCCTCGCCGGCTCTAAGTGATCACATGATCACTGAGTTCTCACCGCCGCTCTCGCTACCATGGCTAAATGTGACAGCTTCTGCTGAGGGCTACTGGTTGAGAGGGAGCTGAAGGCCACCAACATCCTAACTACTATGACTCGTCTCTGTCTGACCTATTCAGCTCTCAGCGTAGGATTCCCAGGTGAATATAAACAAAAAAGGCAGTAAATGTATAAAAAATTTGCAGCAAGGGTCGGGATTAGTTGTTTGCGGTGACAGAGCAGGTGTTGCTCATAGTGATTGATGAGAATCTGCAGTGCTAGATGTTGTGATTAATGGTGGATTAAAATTGTGGGATTTGTTGTCAGGAAGGGGGTTTACTAAAGGACGTGTCAAAATCTGTGCGTTTATTTATATTTTCTTTTTTTTTAATGAGTAGGGTTACTACCCCTTACTCATTCACATGGGAGAAGGGCGCTATCCAGGGACCCCCTTATTATTAAAGATCCTGATAAGTCCTGTCCACTGATGCCCACAACCATTGGGACAGGATTGTGGGGAAGAGGTAATTGGCAAGTTACCTCCTCATGTTGAGGGCATGTGACCTGGTATGAATATTGGGGGGGAAGCCACACTTTTTTTCTTTTATTTGTGTGGGCTTCTCCCTTAAAATTAATTGCACAGACAAAGGTTCTGGTATGGAATTTGGGGAGAAACCCATGCAATTGTTTTTGCATTGTTTTGTATGGTCTGGTACGAAATCTTGAGGAATGGGGACCTGCACAGTTTTTTTTTCACACATTTACCCCTCCCCTCTTTGTATACATTCATCTGTCAGTTAGGTGGGGATTAGTTAGAGCCCTTTGACATGGGCGCCTTCCATTCCAATCAGCAGTTGATCTGTCCACTGGTCCCCTGCTGATTGGAGCAGAGTGGGGCTGCAGACAGGTCCATGTCTGCTGAGTTTATGCACAGTGGACATGCACGGACCCCGTTCTGCTCTATGAGTGACCCGGTGTAAACACCCGGCAGCCTCCATTCAGGTCTACCCAAATGGAAGAGAACACAGTCCTCCTCCATTTTTATAGCGGGCCTGATTGGGTAGGCAGGTGTAAACAGACATAAATCTGTTTACACCCGCTGGAATGCATGATGAGTGCTACTTCTGGAACACCTTATTGGAAGAAGATGCCGCAGTTGCTTTTCTTATTGGTAAACATGGTCATGGGGCTGTTCTGACCAAAGAATGTTTGCCATTGAGAGTGGGATATTGTATACTCACTCTGGGGCTGTGTACCTGGAAGGGTGGCCAGGGCATTTGGAGTTAGTTTACCTTTTTATTTTTTTATGAAAGAGTAAACTTACTATTTAAGGAAATTGGATGGCAATAGGTAAAGTCTAGTGTTTATAGCAAGGAAATAAAACCTTTCAGTTCATTAAATCTGGCCTAAATGGTTGAACATAAGGCTCCCCTATATGACAGTCACATGCATGGGATATTTCTGTTTCACAGGCTTGAAGGACAACTAAAACATATTTGGAGTTCAAGTAAAATTGATACATATCAACTTTTTATATGTGGGTTTTTTTTTGGTTTGTAGGAAATGGAATTGTAAAATATTAGCTCATATTTTATTATATATTTTATTATAATTATATGTGTATATTTTTATACTGTAAAAAATGTAATGAATATTTTATAAATAAAGGTACATTTAGCTACAATTTCCCTTTTTCCCTATGTATGGAAACTTTTGGGACAACCTGTATATTTTACTTTTATTATTTACTACACTTTTTAAAGCCAAAGAAATCTTTACACTAAAATAAATGCTTAGGTTTTACATGGCTCTGTGTGTTACAGATATAACCTCGCTGCACAGGAGCTCGTTCTTCGAACAAGGGGAGCTCGGAAAGAGAGTGGCTGGAGGCTACCAAACGGAAAGCTTGCCTCATTAGATGACATCTCCGTCTTCGTTATTCCACTAAGTGAACAGAACAACTGCACAAAGGAAAACAAAGGATGACATGTTTAATATGTTTATAGTGATTATATAGGGTACAAGAACGGTGAATTACCTCGAGAGCATATTCTGGAAGCACAGCAAATGCAAAGCACTTTAATATAAAACCCTTTTCCCAAAGACTCAGTTTTTCAAGCTTATATTTTCTTATTTAAATGTATGTTACAGGTTTGCAACTGCTTGCAGTCAGCCTTATTAAAAGCACATGGATTACATGGCAAATGTAAGTAAATTCTAAAAAGTAAAGAACAAGCTGACTTCATAATAAAGAATCATCTCATTTATAGTAAAATATTGACTTACTTGAACAATATTGTATCTGTCATAAAATGTCCAAGTACAATATTCCCTACGCACACGTTCCTGCAGTTGGCTGTAAATGTTAGTGAGTGCTGCAGTGCCCACTGGGCTGGAAACCGAAGACATTGAAGGCAAAGAGTATGTCATCACCACACCAAGGATCTCCAGAATGTGTCCAAAGCTTTATTCAGCGCTCATGATGTGCTTGAGGAATAAAGCTATGGGCCCAGTCTGGAGATCCTTGGTGTGCTGGCGATATACTTCTTGCCTTGAATGTCATAAAATGTCAATATTCAATGCATCTTCTCATAAGGGTGATAAGACCCACGGATCAAAACATTATCTTTTATTTATAACCAAACTCCACTTTTCCTTTAGCATTAAATAGTTTGTTTGGGCCAAGCTGGCCTAAATGAATTATTTCCTTTTTTTAATTGTTGTGGCCGCCTTTAGTGCTGTATAAACTGTGTGTAGCAACTACTTCATACAATATACATTACTGTGCTTCAGCAGCAGTATGGGGACTTCCCATCTACTGTTGGAACAAAATTGAGTTGGACTGAGTGCTGCTCAGCCATTTACAGGAAGCCTTTGCATTTTTATCAATGAATACAAGACTTTCACTGGTTGGCTGGTGTGATGAGGCAGGCAGATGACATCACAATCTCCACCTTACAGAAAATTCCTTGTCACCAAAAAAAGCTACTAAAATACCACAAGTGGTATTTTTCTGAAATATGCAGTATTTAACACTTGAAACCATACAGTATTTTATCTCCTGTGAAGTGGAGAAGGATTAGAACCCCTGTTTTTATTGCTAATAAAGTTCTAAAATGGTTTAAACAGTAGAAATATGCGGTCCCTGCAGCATATGTAATAATACAAAAGAGAAAAGGTGACTGGAATGTCAGTCAAAGGTAAGCTACTTTCACAGGACACACATGCTGTATCAAAAACAAGTTAAATTAGGTAAGTACAAAATATCTTTCTAAATGTCAAATATTGAATGAAAAAAGTATAAAAAATCACACACATATACAGTATAAATACCCTTCTTCCACAATGTTGTCTTTTTTATTGGTGGAAGAAGCGTATTTATATATGTGTGTGATTTTTTATACTGTTTTGATTCAATATTTGACATTTAGAAAGATATTTAGTTTTTAAATACACAGGAGAAAAGGAGGGAATAACACTTGAATGTGGGACTTTGTGGGTGCAAGGTCATTCATTACCATACAGATTTGAACATAAAACCACTGAAGTTTTATTACACACATTACATTAAAATACAGTTTGATTTAAAAAAACAACAACTTTAGAATCAGTTCAGTACAATCTTACACATAATAGTTCCAAACAATGTGTATACAGTGTGATGAATCCCACGAAGTCCAAAATTCGAAGGAGCGTTATTATTAATTATATATGATCCTTTTCTCCTGTGTATGCAAATCCAGGGATGTGGTGCAGTGGTTCCTCCTTTAACTATTTTGCATTTACTTAAAGTATAATTCAAGGAAAAACTTTTTTTTTTACTTTTGGAGAGTGTGGAGAGGTATTAGAACACCTTACTACTGTCTGTCCCTATTAGGGAGATTCCCCCTCTCTGTTTGTCCTGTTTACCATTATTATTGAAATTTAAAGGAAAAGAAAATCCCAAATTTTGGGTTGTCCCCAGAAAAGTAATAGAAGGGACATCTTCCAATAGGGACGCAGATGGCAAAAAAACTGACATGGGTTATAACCCTCCATTACTCTATCCAAAATGAAAAGGAAAGTTTGCCTTTAGTTACACTTTGAAGCAGCCTTTCTCAACCTTTTCAGCACAGAAGAACCCTTGAAATAACCTTGCAGTCTCCAGAAACCCCAGCTAAAAATACTATATCTACAACTCATGATGCATTAGTGTGATGTTCAGTGGGAAGAATGCTTCCTACACTTGTGGTCATTGAGAATAATTATCCCCATACAGATAGCTAAAAAGATCAATTATGTCAGTGGGAATTTGTAAAAATTTTTGAAGTCTCTAAAAATAATTGTGAAAAAGTAAAGTATCCCCACTACATACGACAGATGTTCTAACTAGAGGTTAGACAAATGGTCTCCAAACTGTGGCCCGTGGGCCACATGCGACCCTTTACTTGCCACTATCCAGCCCTCGGGTTACTGTTCCTCCTACTGCTACCAACAAGGAGGCACCATTTCTTCCACTGACACCAACTATGGCGCATTTTTCCTTCCACTGACACCAATGATGGGACACAATTCTTCCCACTGATATAAATAATTAGGTATTATTCCTCCAACTAATACCAAGGATGGGGCACTATTCATCCAACTAATACCAATGATGGGGCACTATTCCTCCAACTAATACCAAGGATGGGGCACTATTCCTCCAACTAATACCAAGGATGGACACTAATTCTACAACTAATACCAAGGATGGGGCACTGTTCCTTCCTCTGATACCAATGATGGGGAAATATTCATTCCACTGACACTAATGATGGGGAACTATTCATCTCACTGATACTAATGATGGGGCACTATTCTTCCCCTGACACCAATGAAGGGGCACTACTCCCACTGACACCAATGATGGGGCACTATTACTCCCATTAACACCAATGATGGGGCACTATTCCTCTCCCTGATACCAATGATGGAGCACTATTCCTCCCACTTTCAGCAATGATGGGGCACTATTCCTCCCACTGACACCAATGATGGAGCACTATTCCTCCCACTGACACCAATGGTGGGGCACTATTCCTCCCACTGACACACAATGATGGGGCACTACTCCTCCCACTGACACCAATGATGGGGTACTATTACTCCCACTAACACCAATGATGGGGCACTATTCCTCTCCCTGATACCAATGATGGAGCACTATTCCACTGTCAGCAATGATGGGGCACTATTCATCCCACTAACACCAATGATGGGGCACTATTCCTCCCACTGATACCAATGATGGGGCACTATTCATCCCACTAACACCAATGATGGGGCACTATTCATCCCACTAACACCAATGATGGGGCACTATCCCCCCCCCCCCCACTAATACCGATGATGGGACAGCATTCCCAACTAATACCAATGACTGGACACTATTTCTCCTTCCTCCAAGCACTATGTCATTTTTTGTACTCCCACTGGGCACTCCAGCCCTCCTAAAGTCTGAAGGACAGTAAACCAGCCCTTTGTTTAGAAAGTTTGGAGACCCCTGTATTAGACCATTGTGATATGTACATTGTATTATGTTTGGATTAATTGGGAGGTTTTTTGCAGCAAATAATGTATATGCTTGTATAGTCACAAAAAAAGTCTCTGGAAATCTAGTGAAATGGCAGTAGAAAATAAATAGATTTTACTACATGTAATGGGGTGGATTTACTAAAGTAATGGGGTGGATTTACTAAAGGCACATAGACTGAGCAAGTAAAAATTCCGTTTTTTTTCCCTTGCATGTGATTGGGTATGTTTGTAAAGCGAAGCTTTACCTCATGTACTAGGCTCTGGAGCAACTTGCAAATTGCACAGTATAGCCAGTATAGGCAAAACTTTTTTTCATGTTGGATAGAGTAAGGGAGGGCTATTACCCCTGTCAGTTTTATTTTTAAAATGTTTGTCATCTGTGTCCCTGTCCCCATGGATGATTTCCCCTCTATTACTTTTCCGGGACAACTCAAAATTTGGGATTTTATTTTACTTTCACTTTCAATGATAATGGTAAACAGGACAAATAGAGAGGGTGAATCACCCTAATGGGGGCACAGACAGCAATAAAAACCTGACAGGTGTTCTAATACCCCTACACTCTATCCAAAACAAAAAAAAAATGTTTTTCCTTTAATAAATCCAATGATTTCCATTCCATTTAGGTTTCTATGCATTTCTGTTGAGAGAACTGATCCAAAAAAGTCAGAAACTACACAAAATTGCCTATTATATTGTTACATTTCTAAAATATTGCATGCCTGGACCACTACTTCATTACTGCATGCATTTAATTAATTATTTCCTTCTGGTAATTGACTTTAACACCCTTTCATGCAGTATTTACCGAGCGTTTTGAGCGTTTTGTGGTAAATACAGCAAAAAGGTATAGTGAATTGACAATTTCAGGATCGCATATGATATTTAGGGAAAATATGTCCTCAAACCTAAATACCACATGCGAGTTCCTTTTGTGAATGGAGCCCATTGAACCTTAATTTTTAAACTACATTAACATGTTGGGGATTATATGAGATTTTTATGACTGGGTTTATATTTAGGCCTGGTTCACACTAATGTGATTTCAGATGTGCTTTGAGTTGCGCAAAATCACATGAAACTAGAAATCCCATTGTTTTCAATGGTGTACATTCACATCAATGTGGTGGGATTTCAGAAACGGTTCTTGTGCTACTTTGGTGCAATGAAATGAATTAACGTCCAATCTTTTGACGTGCCTAAACATGATACATGCCAAAAAGTTGCTGCCAAAAAAAGCCTCTAGGTGAAATAGCCAAATGTCCTGTGTGCCTGATGCCTTTCCATGAAGGTTCTTTTCACACTTGCAGACTGTTCGTTTCATCAGTTCAATCACATTTTTTCAAAGAAAAAATGAAGTTTACATCAGTTTTTCACAGTTTTCCATCAGTTTTTCATCAGTTTTTTACATCCAAAGCAAAGCAAAAATA